GATTTCTAACTGGAGCTACAAGCAAAAATTATTAGAAGATATTTGGGTTTCCTACATTTCCAAGTTGATTCTGCAGCACTTCTGAAAGCAATGGGACTAAAGACACTGGGATTTTTAGGAAAAAAATATTTCCCTTGCTTGTTTTGTTTGTTTGAGTACAGGTTCTCTCTCTCTTTTTCCCTTTTCCTTTGTTTTACTCATTCTATTTTCTTATGTTTTCTGTCCTACTCTTTGCCTTCTTTCTCTTCTCTCTCTTCCTCTCTCTCACACACACACACTCGACATCTTTCTCTTCTCCTCCTCCTCTCTTCTCCTCTTATATTCCTTCTTCTTGTTCTTCTTTACAGTGGCTCCAAGCTCCAATTTGTTTACCAACCTGTCGCAATTATTATTCTTCCAGGGCCAGCATTGAAATAGATTCTTTACCCTTTGTAAGAGTGTATCTAGATAAAACAAATGAGCTTATCAGGGAAATTGTTAACCTCGCTGTGCATAATGTATTTCCCAAAGGGCAACAGATTCCTCAACTCCTTTAAAAAAAACAATCTTCTAATGAGGGTTCCAAAAAAAGCTATTGAGAAATAGCTTTGCTCACCTCCTTGTCTTTTGAGGTACTCTACTTCCATCAGGATGGAGAAGTACACTGATGTTAACTATATTTTTCAGCCCTGTGCTACCAACTTTTCCCTCCTTGCTTCCTACAGGAAAAGAGCCACTGACTTGCGTAGGGCTTGCACTCATCAGTCCCTCCATGTTGTGCTAACATCGTGGCACTAGCTCACTGATGGCCATCTAGGAGCTGTTTAATGCACGCACGTGTACAGCAATGCACGTGGCCCCTGGGGATCAAGTTTAGCATTCAAGGAAATGCTAAAAAAGTTGCTGTCTCCACCTAGTTTAGCATTCCCTTGAATGCTAAACTAGGTGGAGACAGCAACTTCCAGGTGGCTGGGGAGGAAGGAGGAAGAGTGGTACTTGAGCAAGCCATGGCCTCCAGTAAGTGACTAGGAAGTAGGAGCAGCAGGGGGACTTGGCAGACTTGGGGAACTGGGGGAGGAACACTTGTGTTTTGCTGACTGAACTTGCTGTACCTCTCTCTCGCTCTCCCTCTGTTGCTGTAAATTCCTCACGGATGCAGCGGTGTTATCCAGAATTAAACACAGCTGATGGGCCCAGGAGCTGACATGCTACAGAGCTGAGGCATATGTTAAGAATAACTCATTTTGAGTGCATCTGTGTGTAGCCACAGTCTTGTGTTTTAAATAGCTCTTTCTTCTACTGCTGCATAAATAGATTTTGGCGAGTTTTAACAAACACTGCTCTCTTCTTTCTGCACCTATAGAGTGGGTGGGGGGTGGGAAGACTATTGCATACATGCCCATATTCACACAAGCTTCAGTCATGGTGCGTTCACTCACATACTTATTTACTTTTAAAGCCTTGTGATGTAGCGCTGAGGAGAAGAGAGCATTGCTTCTTCAATAGTGATTACAGCTATGTTGCTCCACTTCCCATGTGCCTGGAAACCCAGGTGTAGAGCAGAGCTGAGCTGCAACTGAAGTGAATAGGAGCTTTAGGAGCTCAGCTTAGGTAGCTACAGAAACCAAGGTGAGATAAGAAAGGAGAGAAAAGAAGTACCAAAGGCCTGTGCACCATGCTGCAAGAGGAAATCAGCATGTTTATACCATTACATTTTCTGTAACAGGGATTTCCATAGAAGCAAAACAGCCTTTTGGCAGTATCATGGCTCAGTGCCTAGCCCTGCATTGAAGTGCAGAGTGCTGGAGGCTCCTGAAGGAGGGACACTAGGAATTCTCTTCTGCCCTGTCCTGCCTTGAAGGCAGGACACATCAGCTATCATTTAGTACTAGAACTCTTCTGGGATGTAACAAGAGCCTATAAAAAAGAGACTCTATCTATGCCTGATGGTATCAGTGCAGTGGCCTCCAGGCTTTCTGAATTCTCATCTGTCTGCTGTTAGAGAAGAGGGGATGGGGACATCCCAACAGCATGTCATGCAGCAACTTTGTCTTTCAGAGATAAATTTGCTGTGAAATGTCCTCATGTGAGGGCCAGAGCCTCCTACACCCAAAGCACATGTGAGCACTGGGGAATGAAGCAGCCACAGAGAACTGGCTGCATAGCATGGCTCAGGCTGCCAGCTCCCAAAGCAAATCAGAGCATGAGGGATGCTGAGCCAGCTGATACTGCTGGCAGAAACACCCTCCTGTCAGCATAAAAAGAATTTATCTTCACTACGTAGCTTCTGGTCCTGATATGCACCCAAACACACCCGCCTGCCTTTCTGCATGTTGAGTTAGCACAAGAGATCCTGCAGAGAGTGCTCTGCCAGGAGTTCACGGGCTTTTGGTAATGAGTTTTTAGATAACATTGAATCTTCTTCCTTAGAGACTCTCACCTGGAACGTGCAATCACCATTGCGCATTATCCCTTCTGAGAAAGAGCTGACAACTTAGATATCCCAATTATGAGCCAAAATTGGCCATATTTTCCCACTGCAGCCAGAAATGTGTGCTCAAGATGCAGAAACATTCAAACGGCCAAGCCATCTTGAGAAGACATCCCTACAGTGTTGATAAACAAAGTATTGAATCTATGCAGGGATGCTTTTGCCAGCAACCTTAGCATGTGATGCCAAGTACACTCAGCTTCATAGTGCTCTAGTATCAAGGCACCAGATGTGTGTATATGAGACTAGTGTGGTTGGTGCTGTCAGGTGCCTGGATGTGTGACTACAAATCAGCTCTAGAAGCTCCTATCAGAAGCAACAATTCTCCTGCTCTTCCATTTGCATTTTGGTATTCATTTCAGAAAATGAAGGAAGTTGTCCTCTCTTCAAAGAAAATGTTGGAAATTCTTCTCTGTGCTTTTGAGAGCCCTGACCATCATCCCTGCCTTCCTCCTGGATCCGAGACTTATGCAACTGTTAGCGAGCAGCCAAACCCTGCCTGCCAAATCATGTTTGCTTGTATATTCTGTTTATAACATATGCATATTATCCTGACTTCTAGGATATTCCTTCCCTGGCATCACTGCCAGTCTGCAGGGATGCAGGCAATATCCCATGCAGGACAGTACAGTGGCCCCTCTCTTTCTGCATGCAGCTGTGGGGACTGGCATGGGCGCTGAGCTGAAAGGATGTTGCTTACTTACCAGCAGCAACATGAGCTCCATTGTCAAGCAGCAGATAGATAAGGTATCTTGTGGCTTTGCATGCAAGAGGACCTTTGTTGTTTTGAAGGGTAAATGGGATTTTACACGTTGAGTCTTCAGATACCAGAGGTACCTTGCTAAGCCTGGTAAGAAGTGCAGGTTTCCATAAAGATGCACTGCAGAAGCCCCATGGCTTCTTTGGGTATTGTTCTTATGGGCAGACTCACTGCAGAGGAGTTCTTCAACTTCCTGATTTCCAGCACACATAAGACATGGTCATGTGGGAGCGGAGTCACAGTGCAGTGCCTTCTGTCCCTGATAGGCTCCTACAGCAGGCAGCTTTCAGTGAAAGTGACAGCATCACTTCCTAAGTATGTGAAAATATTAATCTTTCTCTCCCTCCTTTTTGGAAGAGACGAGGAAGATATTTAAATAAAAGTAGCACTTGTTAGTGGCTTTAAAGGGTATCAGATCAATTACTTGGTTTGCTCTGCAGCTTTGTTTGCATGAACTGCTTAAAAAACCCACAACAACTATTCCAAAACTAGAAACAAATCATCTACTGTGGAGGCAAGCTGGGTCATACCCAGTTCTGCTACAAAGAACAAGAATGTGTTCAGTTCTCAGATCACAATTGTTAGCAGAGGAAATACTCTCATCTGTTACCTCTATAGGCTCTTCTCTGTAGACAGTCTTTCCTTTGAAGACTTATTTTTGAAGTGTCCAGTGCTTTATCTTCTGCTGTTTTCTATTGATTTTACTCTCTTATTCAAGTCCATCTTTCTTCTGTAGGCCTCTTCTTTCAGTTGTATCCCTTGCTGATCTGAAGGGTTTCATGGGTTAGAGCATCCCTGGCCTTTAGGGAAACTGGGCTATTTATGTGCACTGAAAATCTGCAAGATGAAAGTTTTTGTGTTCTGAATAATCTGTTGGATGAAGCTCAGTAATCCCAAATATCTTAGAAACACAGGGGTCATGGCAGCTCACAAGCTTCATATTCAAAGTTAGAGTTGCCCTTTCCAATAATGTGACAGTGTTCAGATCTGGGTCTCTGCATCAGCTGTATAAAAATAAACAAACAGGAAAATCAGCACCCTTGTGCATTACATTTTTAAGCTCTAAAATAGTTGGAATGAAAAATAGAGAAGTCTGTCTCTCCCTCTGTGCTTTTCCTTACTGTATCGGTGAATGAGAATAAAACTGTAAGCCTAAAATCTGAAATGAAAAATAGACTTGAGAATGACATAAGGAACTCAGCCTTCTCACAAGCATCTTTTTTAACTATACCACTGGTTGGATTCCAGTTATAATTTGGCTCTACCTCAGGCTCAAAGGGTATAATCCTTCCCACCTATCTTGAATTCCAGCAGTGTACGTATTTACAATTAGTTTGTCTGTCTAGATGCTTTTTATACTTGACAGAGTAAAACAAGTTTCTTTGGGTCATGATTTGTTTTACTATAAGGCAAAATATGAGCAATACTTTGAAGGTGTGTCATACTTTGGGGCCCACTGCTTGCAGAGCAGAACATTTAGCTACCCAGCCAAGACTCTGGGTGTCCAGAGTTTGTTCCCACACCATCTACAAGGTTCTTGGGGAGTATCCATTGCATGGGGTGCCTGCTGGGAAGTGGTGTATGCCCTTCTGTGGCAGCAGCACCAGCAACCAAGTATTGTGGAAAGCTCTACAGAAGGCAGGTGGTTCCTGCCCACTAACATGTGCCACCTCTATTGGAAGTACACAAAGGGACAGAAGACTGTTGGGAAATGAAGAGATGCTAAAGCTAGATGAACCACATCATGGAGTTATCCCCTTCTCTCCCCAGGTCGCTACCCACAACCAAACAAAGGCACCTACATCCCAATCCTCATAGGTGACGCACTGAAACCTGGAGAGTGGGGAGCCAAGATTATCCATAAGGAGAACAACTCCATTCGCCTGTCCATCATGTCCTCTGCTACCTGCATTATTGGGAAGTTTCGCCTTTACGTTGCCATCCGGACTCCCTTTGGCATCATCAGAACACACAGGAACTCAGCAACTGACACTTACATATTGTTCAACCCCTGGTGCCAACGTAAGTAGTTTCTTATCAGTGTCAAAGACTCACAGTTTCTTCACTGGGCTCATTGGTTTGTGAGAGGGTGTAGTCTGGGAAAGGGAACTTGTGCCAAGGTGGTTGGAGGCCAGTCTGTATGAATACAGAAAGGATGTGGTTACATTTACCTGATTGCCCCTAAGGGCTAAGTATTACACTCTTGGGGGTGCCCTGTGAGTGGGGCTATCAGGGCACTCTGTAGTTTCATGAGGCTGAGTTTGTGAGTTTGTGTTTACCTACATAGGTAGCATGGCACAGCTCCATTTTTGGTATTAAATATATCCCAAGGCTTTGCTCTGGTTTTAATAATCATCAGTGTGAACCTTCTGCCTGCCACCATGTTCCTTAAACTGATAAGTCCGTATGGGCATGTTTTTTTCCCAGGATTTGGTGTGGGGTAGGATGTAGTGGCACCCCATTCACAACTGTTGAATTACATTGCTGGTTGCCACATTTTAGGATGGAGCATCTGCAGCCCAAAAGCCTGCTAAAACTCAATGGAAGCTGCTGTCCTGCACAGGTTGGATGCTTTTAGTCTGCTGCAACATGATTGGTGGCACCTTGCTGTTACACAGGATTTGACCTTATAACTTACCCTTAGCAGTGACTAATTACCAGCAACCTTGCCCTCTTTGAGGAACAGAACATTTTGCAAATTAGCCCTTTTTGCAATCCAGTGTGTTTTAAAGAACTTTTGTTTTTTTAAATCTCCCTGGACCAAGGTAAAATCAGCCCTTCTGCTGACAGAATTGCTCTTTTAGCCAATGAATTCAAAGTGTAGTTTTAAGGAGAAGGCAAGGAGGACTGGTGAGGCTAGGTTCACCAGCCTTCTGACAGGCTTTAGCACCACATCTCAGCTTCTGATGCTTGTAAGGCTCCATATCTGGCACACGTACTGCTATATATTTAGGTCAGCAGCTAACTATATATCCTCCTGCCATCCTTCCATCATCCTCCAATTTTTTACCGGAGTATTTTCATCAAATAACCCCATACCAAGTAAGGGCCATCTTACATGTGATGAGTAAGTTTAGCATTATTAATAGAGCCCATTATTCAGCCACACTACTGTCAGTACGTAGAATGATTTGTGCTGACTTCATTACTTACCCCTGGTCCAAGGGAATATAAGCAATGATTAGCTTATGCATTATTTAAGAAGATATATGTTAATGCTGAGTAAAGTGGAGTTAGTTAAGCAGGAATGGGAGGGAAGGGCAGGGCCCAAGGCCTCACAGCACCATGAGGGAGTTTTGAAAGCAGCGTAGAGTTGTATACCTTAGGGACACATGGTCAGTTTATTCTGGGAGTAAGGAGAGTAGGTAACAGAAAGCGAGGGATTATGGGCAAAGGTAAATGGACTAATGTGACACCCTGGTGAACAGACAAAGCCTCTCAGTGTTTTTAAAGGCAACATCAACAGGTGCCAGTTCCAGCTCAGGAGGTGTGATTCTCCACCCTAAGGCAGAGAATCCTTTGGGTGGAGTCCTGGTTTCTCAACAGCCAGCTTGTTAGCCAGCACAGTGTTTGTGCCGTGGCTCAGCATCTCTTTAGACAGGGAAAAACTACAGAGGAAAATCTGAAGTCACCTCATAACAAGCATGCAGCCAGCTAGTGCTGAGGGCAGTCAAAAAATATAGAAAAAATGAGGTGGGGGGAGATTGGCTGCCACAGCATGTGTGATGGGGACAGAGGCTGATTTGAAGCATGAGGTGGGCAGTAAGAAGGGGAAAATCAATCCCTCATTCACATCTCCTACTCATATCTCTGTGTGCCCATGACACATGGGTGCTTTGCACTCACTTCCTGAGCTGAATGGGGTCAAAAGCCAGCAAAACAAAATCCATGGTATGGGAGCTCACGTGTAGAGCTCAGGACATGCAGCAGCAGCCATCAAGAAGGCTAACAGAGATGTCTACTGCAAGAAGGCAAAAGAGAGACTCAGAGCAGCATGGATCTGCTGTGGGGGTCACCCTCAGAACATCATGTCCTTGTCCCCAACTTACGTGTCCAGGTGTGCCACAATGGCTTGAAGTCCTGGCCCTTGCTAACTATTGTAGCTTTCGTTTTTTGTGCACTTCATTTGGATGTGGATTTGCTTTCTTTCCCTCCTAAGCACTAATTGGTTCCTGTGTCTGCCTTTCCCCCTTTGTGTTAGAAGAGCAAGGGCAGTGTTTCTCCATGCCTTGTCCTCTGGCTGGGAAAGTTTGTGCAGTGGAATGACAAAAGGGTATAAAAACTCAGGCAGTTAAACTGCACAGAAAACAGTAGTTTGAAAATCTCCTGGACTTGTTTGCTGGGTTAATAGCTGAGAAGCAGAGTCTGAGTAAAAAGCCTCATTAAAAAGAGAGAAGGCTGGGGAATGAATGAATGGGGATTGTTATCGCAGGGAGCAGAGTACAAGCTCCATCAGTGTCTAGTGCAGCTACCCAGCTCATCATTTTAGAGAAACATCAATGTGTCTGTATGAGCTTTTCTTTAAGACAGAGGCATTTATGCCCTTTCTTGTTACTTCTTTTTTCACTGTAGTTCAGTTTTGACATAATTTCCCAGGCTGAGATGCGTTTTTTTTCTACTGTTTCAGAGCAAGTCTGCATGCTTTACCAGTTAAGCTACAGAGCAGCTTCTGTTCTTTGCTTCCAAAATCATCAGATGCTTTTATATGGTTAAGGCTTATCACCAAGAATACTTTACAGATGCAGATGTGGGGCCTGATCTTGCAAAATGATATGCATCTGCCCCACAGCAAGCAAGTGGATTGGCATTTCAGATACTCAGGTGAAATTTGCATTAGTTAATAAGCAAAGTAAAGCCTGCAAGAATAGGCAACATCCTCTCTTCAGCCAGCTGACATAACAGGGAAAAACAGACATGCTGTTGGGCACATGGAGCCCTGTTCAGTTCTGAAACAGGAGATACAAATGGCAAGTCATTAAGGATAACTTGAGTATAACTTGACTCTTAGCAATATCAGACTACATGAAAGTGGAGAATGGCTCCTTTGATCTAGGTACTGTGAGCTCCTTTTTCCAAGGAGGTGCTGAGCCAGCGACATTCTGCTTGGGAGCACTCGGTGCCTATCAGGAAAAGACTCTGCATGTCTCTTGTGGCTCTCTTAGGTGGAGATGCATAGTGTGTCTGTAAGTTGCAGACTCATGGGTTGAGGATTATCTTTCATTCATACAAGCTTTCTGCAAAGTGTTTTAGATTAGAGCAATTAAATATGTTGCAGTCTTAGTGACTCAGTTGACTCTGCTACCCATGTCCTTCAAACATCCTGTTACAGATTGAGGATTAGTAGCATGCGATTGCCTTTGGGCATCTGTAATATCACAGAACCATGGAATCGTTAAGGTTGGAAAAGACCACTAACATCATCTAGTTTAACTGTTCACCCGTCACCATACATAACCAACATGCCCACTATACTGTCTCTAAAATGTTAAATGTGATCAGGCTTGACTCAGTAATATTTTCTGTTGTTTGTAGCCATATATTAAATTTTATGTCTTCTACCATAGATTCCAAAAATTCACAAAGTCAGAGCTTCATATCTCTGCTACATTCACAGAGACAAGAACCAGTCATTGCACAGCATCGTCCAAAGCTTGGCTCTGAGTGGAGCGGACTTTGTAGATACCTGTTTTAGCTCTCGCTGCAATGTGTTTGCCACAGTGGTGTTCTCCTCCCAGCAAGAGCTTGTCCAGGTTCCCATGCTAAAGGGAGGACAGGTCCTGAAGGCAAACCACCTTCATCCATCTGCTGGTTCTGCTGTGCTCAGCTGTCACTGTGTGCAGGAGAAGATGACATTTCCAGTGGTTGCTCTGCTAAGGCAGGGGTTTCCCAGGTGCATCAGTACCAGGAGGGGCCTCTCATGGCTATTCACTTTCCTAAAGGGACAGAGCTTCTCTGTACTTCTTACCTCTTCCATAAGGAGCTTTTTTCACATAGAAGGTGGTAAGGCACTGGAACAGGTTGCCCAAGGAGGCTGTGGATGCCCCATTCCTGGAGGCATTCAGGGCCAGGCTGGATGTGGCTCTGGGCAGCCTGGTCTGGTGATTGGCGACCCTGCATGTAGCAGGGGAGTTGAAACTAGATTATCATTATTGTCCTTTTCAACCCACACCATTCTATGATTCTATGATTGCATGAACTTGTGTACAGTGGGATTTCTCACCTGCACTACTGTCCTCACATGGAGTGTATTTTCACCTTACCTATCTTCAAACAAAGAAGCATAGAAGATTATTTGCTTCTTTGTAGCACTGCTAGGGTCTTAGTAATTTCCCAGGATAAAAGAAGTAAGTAGAAAAACCTTAAACTGATAGAGAAAAAGAACAAACAAGCCTGGTGCTTTTTCTTGGAATTCTTCTGTTTGTCAGATGTGAAATTCTGCTTGCACCAAATAATTAGGAGTTGTACTATGTAGAGCACGCTTAGCATCAAAGTAGTCACAAATGCCTCGTATTTTCTTCTAAACAGTTCTCAAGGGTAGTGAGAGCTGTCAAAAATCAAAGCAGCTGGCTTTTATGTGGAACACAGAGGCCCGTTTTACTTTATCAAAAAATAGAAATAATTTAAAATAATTGACAGAGAAGTTAATCAATTTTCATCTGATTTAGCAAAGATCATGCAGTCTTGAAATAACGTAAGCATCTCAATTGATACCAACGAGATCAATATTGATATTTATAATCCCTGAAAGAAAACAACAGCTGTCAAGAAGGCATGTGCACACACTCTGCTGAATGCATAACTGTACTGAAGCAGGTGTGAGTTGTACTCCTTGAAATGCATTTTCTGTACTGTTTGTATACACGTGCTTCAATAAAACCCAGAGCTCAGTGAGTCAATACATGTAATTGCTCCATAAGCAAATCAGGCACATCCATCCTAATGACACAGAGCCTTGTGTGATTTGCAACATCCACAACATTTTTGATGGGATGTTGTGCAGAACTTGCTTAGAGCTGGGAGATGGACCTCAAAAAAGTCATGTAATATGGTGCTTCCAAAGTATGCATGTCACTGCTGACATAAATGACTGTAGCTTTTGGATCCACTGTCAGGTCTTAACACTCTTTCTGTCACCTGGTGGCCTCACACTGTAAACTCATGATCTTCTGCTTTGTGCCGGGGTGCAGATTGACTAGTTTGTAGGTAGTGCCAGGCTTATGAACAGCCCTTGCTACAACCCAGCCTTTAGAGGCCAGGTATGTAGCACCCTGCCTCTACACAAAGAGAGAGCCTCAGACCTGCCTGCCTCAGGGAAAACAAGGCAAAACCTGCTGCTTTTTCATCTGCTCTGATTCTGATGTAGCTTGCCGAGCCTGTACAGCAACCCTGTCAAAAGCACAGTGGAAAGCACTGATCTCTTCAAATGCAGAAAAAACCTTCTTACATCCAATACCTGCTTCCATATCATTCCTTGCACACCAATGTGAAGCTCTTGATGTTATATATCTATACATAATCCCTTCTGTATATATACGGATATAAATACATCTGCATGAAAATAAAAATTCCAACAGGGTCAGGTGTACAGACTGGCAAAACTCTTTACCTACTTGAAGTCAGTGTGAGTTTTGCCATTGATTTTTCAGATTTTAGCTGTTTTGTGGGTAAATGGAGAAGCTCTTGAAGATGAGTTTTAGAAGGAAGTACAAATCTGATTTGAATTTCAACAAAATACAACAAATCAATAGGCTTTTAAAGTGAAATAATCCCATAGTAATTTGTAGTAAGATGCAGAAGAAAGCCTCTGACAGTGGTAAGTGGCAGTTTTGCACTTGCTCATATCACACATTCACAGGTTATGCTTCTCTTTAATTTGTTATCTGGTGCCACATTACTGATTTCCTCAAATTAATTAATTCCCAAACCATTACATGTTAAGTGGTACCTCTTAGTCACAAAATATCATTATTGGCACAGGAAATAAATCCTCAGCTTTTCTAACATCACAGAATTTCCCATCCATTTCATGTCTACCCACGAACATCTGAATAGTTTCATGTAGTTCAGGGTTATTTATATATGTTAACTATGGGTTATTTAAGTATGTGAATCCTCTTTGCAGGATGAGGATCCACTTATATTCTTTTGACTGATATTAGGCCAGTCTAGGATGTGTGTTTAATACATGTTTTGATGAAGATGTCTTCTGAATACTTCTAGTTTTCATTTGGACAAACTGAGAGACCTGGGACTGTTTGGCCTGGAGAAGAGAAGACTAAGGAGGGATCTTATCAGTGCTGATAAATATCTAAAGGGTGGGTGTCAAATGGATGGAGCAAGGCTCTTTTCAGTGATGCCCACTGGCACGACTAAGGGCAGTGGGTACAAACTGGAACACAGGACGCTCCATATGAACATGAGAAAGAACTTCTTTACTTTGAGGGTGACAGAGCACTGGAACAGGCTGCCCACAGTGGTTGTGGAGTCTCAGTCCCTGAAGATATTCAAAACCCACCTGAACATTTTCCCATGCAACCTACTGTGGGGAACTGCTTTAGCAGGGAGATTGAACTTGATGATCTCCAGAGATCCCTTCCAGCCCTTATGATTCAGTGGTTCTGCATTATTTTGTGATTTCATATTGGCTGGTCAGTCAAGCTACATGGGGGAGGAACACTGCAGTCAATAACTTATGTACGGAAAAAGCAATCAAACTCTTCTGTTAATACACTATAAAAGCTGTATTCCAATTTTTGTAACGTGCTACAGAGTTTTTCTTTAGATCTCTTGACTTGATCTGTTTTCTGTTAATATTAATAGGCTAGAAATTGTTCTTTGATCTGTTTGTACAGATGCAGAATTGCGTCATGGTGCTCCAACTTTTAAATTAGTGGTACTCAGTAATCATAAAACTCTTGATAAGATGTGACATTTTAATCATAGTTTTCAGATCTTGAGAGAACAGGCAGGATTTGTCAGCGTTTTTGCATCTTTCATGCTTTTAAGTTGTGTATCATATTTCTAACCGGGGTCACTATCTCCTTGTGTTTGTATTCTATTGAAGCAAGTGATGTTTTGTTTGATGGGTGATGGGAACATCTCATCAAATATGGCTGCAGTATATGCTAATTATTTTTATCTGCTCGATATAAAATCTAAGTGGTGATGTTGACATTTGTTTTGGATAAATTGATACAGTGGATGCCGTGTACCTGGATGACGAGAAGGAAAGGGAAGAATATGTCCTGAATGATGTTGGTATTGTTTTCCATGGAGACGTCAATGAAGTGAAATTAAGAAGCTGGAGTTACGGTCAGGTGAGCTATTTGGACCTTCTCTGACTGCTCCCAGTAGGACAGCAAATGAATTTAATCGACAGCAGACTGTGGTTGAGACTGTGGGCTCTGGAGTGCATTATTGGTCTCTACTTCAGAAACACAAGGGGGTATAGTTTTTTAAAATTGTATGAAGTGGGTATATATCTAATCCAGAAAAGCAACGTTATAATAGCTAGTATTTAAAGATCTTGTTTTAGGGGCACATTTCAGATTCTAAGAGGCTTCCTGTTGAAAGCTATAATCATTAGCTGAGGTTTTCACTATGCAGAAGCATTTCTGCTGCTGTGATACTGCTGCTTTAGGATCAGACTGACTTGGTGAAAGACAAGAAGTTTATTTATTTTAGCGAGAGGTTGTATTCCTTTTGACTCTTCCTTTCAGTTCTAGCATCTTGGTGGAAGTAATTCTCATTTTTCCAGGAGTCAGCTTTTCTTAGGGTTGCTATTACAAACTGAGATTTGGTCCCAGAGTTTTAAATTTCCTTACCGCAATGACAAAGGGGGGAACTTCTCCCCTTGCTGTCTGGACTTCACAACTTCAGCCTCCGAAGATGTGGAGAGCACAGTCCTGGCTGGCTGGTGTGTAGTAGTGATATGCTTTAGTGTTATCAACCTCTTACTGTTACCTGTTTTATCTCAATCTATTTGTATCACTAGACAGCCTGAAAGTCCCTGAGCGATGAAAGAGTTGTGTGAGAATGGGAAAAAAGCATTCAATAGCAACATCAAAATTAGCAAAGCTAACTCTGACTGTTACTCAGGGGTATTCCAATGGGCAGTTATTGGACATGGCTCACCTTACGTCCTGGTTCTTCACATCAGCACCATTAAGAAAGTATTGAAGTACTTCCTTCATGCCACAGTGATGGATCCATTCAGCACTCACTGCACATCCCCAGCACAGCCTTGCAGAAGGGGCCCTCTTGCTTTGCTTTCTCTCTTTCAGCTGAAGACTACCTCAAAGCTTAAGCTGGCTGGATTGCCTCTGTGCTTGCACTAGAGAGCTCTTTGAACTCGCATTGTTCTTGCTTCCTCGTTTAAGGATGCAAGTCCATGTTTTTTCCCACAGCAGGGCTGCTTTGGTAGCTCCTGCCTTTGCACCTTTCCGCTGGTTGCCTCAGCGCTGTTGTTTGTGGGGTTTGAAAGAGATCTTGTCTAAGCTAAAGATAATCCTTAAATAAGATGAGGGGGAAGCAATTCCATAAAATGGGGGTGCATCTGAGAGAGATAGGAAGAACCAGATTCTGAGGCCAAAGCATTCAGCATTTAAGTTGACCAAAAATGCCCCCTCCTGGCCCTTCCTTCCCCCTGCAAGTGTTTATATAGCCATGCAATGAATCAGACCAGAGAGCTGACCTAGCTGAACAAGCAGCTCCTTTCTTTTTTTTTTCTTTTTTTTTTTTTTCCCTTCCTTGGGTTGTTATTCAGGCGTGCTCTGCTCCTAGATTTGGGATTCACTCTGTGACAGATGTAGGGGAGGGAGAGACGGGAACGAGTGGCTGGAAATGGAAGATGTTGCTTCAACCAGCTGCTGGATTTATATCCTAAGTTGCTGAATTTATGGCCTATAGTGGTTTGGCCTCAGGTGCTTATATTCTGCAAATCCAGCACCTTCCTGACACAAACACCAACCTCCCTTGAGAAACTGCATTATTTATTTGGTTTTGCTAGGAGGCAGCTCTGTTTGGGAGGTTAGAGCTGTTCCACATCCCTCTGTCATATGCTTTTCCTTCCGGTGTTGTCTGGCACTGGAGAGCTTGATTTCCACCCTGAGTAGTGGTGCACATTTTGTTGCCCGTGTGACAGCTTAGCGTAGCAAGTGCATCAAAGCCAAGAGTTGTCCCAGAGCCTATCATTACTTTTGTGAGGGTGAAATGGACGTCTTACAACTAAGCACAATGGAGAAATATTCCTCTGGCTCAGAGTGATAGAGGTATATGGTTTTCCTGATGCTACCCTACCAATTCCCAGCCATTAAAACATGAGCTTACCTCATTTTTAGCAATCTCTTATGTTAAAACTAGGAGCATTGTTGTAAGTGAATAAAAACACTTTTAGATATTTAGCAGATATACCGTTGTATCATACATATATGCTGTGTGTATGTATCATATATAGCCCTTTACAACAGTGTTAGTAAAAATCATAAGGCCAAATATAGTAATAGAGCTGTAAGGTACATGGTCTTACACAAAAATACAGATAGACTTGTGCATAGTAATATTCATAGGCTAAACATTTCTTTAAAGGATGACAGCTGAAAGCTTTAACTGAGGTTGTAAATTTAAAAGGAACATGCAGTTCAAAACTGGATTATTAGTGGAAGATCATTTTCACAGCTGCCCTCTTTAATGAGCAGCGTCAACTTGAGAGGAGGAGAGGCAAGAAAAATGGACCCAGGAAGAAAATACAACAGACCACTTGAAACATGGCTGTAATGACTGAGGATTCAGGATGAGAATGTTCCTTGTAACATGACTGTGATTCCTTTCTTCTGAGGGTGTGCAAATTGCCAGTCACTCAGAAAAGCCCAAGGGAGGTTGAGGAGAAATTTTGCTTTAGAAGAAATCTGGGCAGATAGGAACTCTCCAGCTGAGAAATATTGGAAGCTGGGTGCTATATTGTATTGATCTTTTAACACTGCCTTTTTTTCTTTATTTCCTTTTTTTTTTTTTTTTTTTTTTTTTTGGAGAAAAGTAAAATAAAGCAGGTGGGCATAGTGCTCTTGTTGTCATGTTGAGCTTAATCATGTCCACATGAGCCCACAGCACAAACAAAATTCTGTGGCACATGCATCTGTTAAGGTTAGATCACTGCCTGTGACCAGCTGTGGGAAACACAGACCTACTTCCACCAGTGCAAGAGGTGATGCAGCCCCTCTTACTTGGATTTAATTGGTTTGAAGTTTTGCTACTAGAAGCAGGTTAGCATGAAAGGGGAATGTCCGCTGAAGGCCAGCCTCACTTAAATGCATTGCTCTATAGTGCAGTGCAAACCAGTGTGCAGGCAGAGCTTCTTTTCCTGTGTTTTCCCATGTCTTGTCTTCCTTCCACAGTCTTTTCCAGGTGGCTGTGCCAATCCTTTGTCCTGAATATGGGTTGTTCCCATTTCAGTTTGTGTCAAGCAGACAGTGCCAGTGACTGCTGTTCTGTCCTGGCTGCCTGCTTGTCTTGGCTGCTGTTTCATTTGATATATCAAGGGTACTCAGCCTTACGTGTATTATGTGTCTGTTCTGCTTCCCTCTAGATATTATTTTTATGCCAAGATTGAGGGCAGGAAACTAATTTAGTTTGATTTAGTGTTTTTAAGAAGTAATGGAAAGCAAAACTGGCTTTAGCCCATGTTACGGTGCTTTGCATCCTACGCTGCTCCATTAGCATAAGGCAGCTAGACTTTACAGCCTGTCCTATGTCCCTCCTCCTATTAATCCAATTACTTCACAGTCATTTATATCGTTTTGTAAATGCTAGGGTGAAAGACAACAACTCCGATAGTAATTTCTTTCCTCTTTAGTCTTTCTGTATATGCTGGCAAGATTGACAGTGTCTCATAAACTGTAGATAAGAGAGATTTAATTTGCAAGCTAAACTTCTTATTGATTTAAGTCAGCTCTTAGACACTGCTGATGACTTGAAGAACAGAAAGCTCTTTTTGATCCTAGTGAAAGTGATAAATCATTAGCCAGGCCAAAAGAAGAGTGAACCTGAAGCAGGAAAGGGCCACTATGACAGCCCAGAGTTTATACTGTCTTTCTGATCTCCTTGGGAAGCAGTCTCTCCACAGTTCTGCCATTCACATGACTTTGCTTACAGCACATATCACTGGAGTAGAGTGGGGACCAATAACGTACAATTACTCAGCCTCCTAGAAATTATACAACAAGGAGTAGGACCTTTGGAGCCACTGACCCGCTTTCTTGCTTGCCTGAACACCGTGAATTCAGTTTTGCTCAAGAAGGCTATAAGATGCTATATACTAACAAACTTCCAAAGAAAGTAATTCAATGCTGGTGTGCATGGCAGAGCTGAGAAACAGTATGAGAGAGGTGTGCTGCCTTAGAGGATTGCTTGCTGGGCTTGTTTAGCTTGGAGAAGTGATGGCTCCAGGGTGACTTCACTGCTGCCTTTCAGTACCTAAGCAGAGTTTATAAACAGGAGGGAGATGATTTTTTACACTTTTTTTTTTTTTTCCCCAGAGAAGCTGTGGGTGTCCCATCCCTGGACATGTTCAACGCCAGGTTGAATGGGGCCCTGGTCAGCCTGAGCTGGTGGATGGCAACGCTGCCCATGGCAGAGGTTGGGACTGGGTGGGCTTTAAGTTCCCTACCAACCTAAGACATTTTATGATTCTGTGATTCTTTTAAAAGGATACATACTGTGGCAGTTTGCTGAGTAATGAGAGCCAGGCAGGCCAAAAAGAAAATGTTTCGTGGACAGAAAAAGGCTGAGAGTGATGAAATACGGAGGTGCTTCTCTTATCCTTATGCCAGAGCTCAGCTGGTACCTATAAGGGAGAGGCCAAAGGAGGCATAGACTCTCCAAGGATGTTATCCCCATCCCTTCCATCTTTTCTGCAGCACTGACAGCTGACTTGATTCATCAACACTTCCTCCTCAGCTCTCTGGCCTCACCCTGCCTTTCCCATGCTACCAGGCCAACAGCTTGGCCTGGGCATTTGTTTGCCTTCTGCAAGATGCAAAACTCAGATCACCCTCATATGCTGAGGAGCCTTAAACTAGGCTGGAGGTGGTTTCAAAATCAATACAGCTCTAGTTGCAGCTGGGCACAAGAGCAAAAATCTTGTTAGCATGAACCATATCTCTAAGGATGCAAATGAAGGACATAAAGCTGAATATGGCAAGGGGACGAGCTGAACGGAGTTACTGTTACAGCTTTGAATGCTAATATAATACTGTGTTCTCAGTGAAACTGGAAGATGTTTTTTTATAAATGTGTGTTTCCTTGTCCCCTACCATTTTCCAGGGGACAGAGATATTTTCCTTTGCTATGCAGTTTCTCCTAAGGAAAATGAAATACATCACAGGGCAAGTTCTGTGACAAATGGTTTCTGGTCTATTTAGGCACCTCTGCCCTCAATTCATTCCTGTGCTTGTTCATGCTGGATCGAAGAAACTGTACCTTTCCACTCTATTTTTGAAGAAGACTACTTTAGGTCACTTGGTATTTTTTATGTCTAAGTTTCAGAGACCAGGATTAATCCATTTCATTAGCTTTTGGCTTGTTAATTTTAAACATTTTACTATTTTAGTCTAAAATTTAAGCTTCATATTATCTGTGGTAAATCATTTATTGGTCAACTTCTCAGCATTGCGCTGAATGTATCAGAAAAGTTCTGAAATTAACAGGTCTGGAATCTGTGAAGGACATGAAGTCCTTAGCGAGCAGACTAGCTTATTGTAGTTATTATTATAATACCTTCCTATTATATACTTGTTAGCACTTAAAATTTTATGTCCTGTCAGAAAGGCTATGTTGTCATTTTAACCTTCTGGAAACCAGACTGAGTTTGAATTGAAAATGACGTTCTCTTTTCCCTTAAAGTGTCTCACATTTTTTTGCTATACATGGGCAATTATTCTAGAAGAAAACTTGTATTTTATACACAGAACTTTGACCTGAGCGACTGATTTTGAAGCTGATCAGCTATTATAACAACAGTAAAAAATAACTTTGCCTTTGCTTTTCAGAATAAAGTGTGACTTAACTCACCCTCTATTTCTCTCTTTCTTTCATTTTATATAGTTTGAAGAAAACATTCTGGATGCTTGCCTTTTCCTGATGGACAAGGCAGAACTGGAGTTGTCTGGGCGTGGAAACCCAATCAAAATCTGCCGTGTTGCCTCTGCAATGGTATGTAATAGATGCCCAGGATTTGTCAGAAGTGACTCTCTACTCAAAGTCAGGCTGGTTTAATGGCCTCTGTGCCCTCACGTCCTCACTGTGGCAGGTGCCAGATCTTTTATCCATTCTGACCTCTGGGGTCTGGCACTTAATTTCATTCCACTAAAGGTGAAATCTTTATGTCAGTTCAGCATCCTGAGAGCGGGGCCTCATTGGCATGAAGGCCACTTTTAAACGTTGCACTTTCATGCATGCTAGCATTTTTTATGACACTGTGCTTATTTTTTTGGTAGCTGAGATTATTGAGAAAGCTACTTCTTTCATGAATGGTGAGGCACCATGATGGGTGAAATTTGGGATGAGGAATTGAGAGACTTTGAGATTTGCCTAACCTCAAAAGGGCCTTAAGACACTGCAAAGCTGGGTGGATCTATGCCTGATTTTCAAGCCTCAGATGGCCTCTCAGACCATTTACATGAGGTACCTTGGTTCCAGGAGAATGTGGTAGGAGATCTGAGCTCTTAAGTACAGGGCCCACATAATTTTCCCTACCCAGAAAGGAAGTGCCCAAAATTTCCAGAAGCAAAGGGTAGGGAGAAGGCTTCCTGCATCTCAATTCCTTTCAGCTGTCAGGCATCAGGAGTCTTACTGTGTGTGTAACAGCAGCCCCATCTCTAATATTCAAGCTGGAAGACTCATCCAGGGCATAAAAAACAGATGAGTCCAATTCTGTCTGCCTTTTGGAGGTCTGAACTGATACCTTCCGGTTCCCAGAGCAGTAATGCTGGTCATTGAGCTATTATCATTAGATGTTCTCCCAGGCCAGCTGCTAGAAGAGTCTCCACAAAACATGACCACTGAAGATGACCCACTTATTACAGCATTTACCCAGACTGTAGGAGAATTAACTCTTTGTTTTAGATAACATTGAAGCAGGATGTCTAGCCTCTCAATTACTGCCACATGATGAATTTTGTGTAACACAAAGTTAAATAGGATAGCTTCAACAAGGAAGATTGAGATCACCTCTACTTTCCTATTTTGTTTTGGCCTTCTGGTTATTTCTTTTATTCTAGACATTAGAAATGTGGCTTCAGACCTCTTGCTACAGAAGTAAGAACTGAATGTGGTTCCTTTACAATTGCATTAATCACTGGTCTCTTAAAAGATCCCTCATGCAGATTCCCTGGAAACCCTATGAGCATAGTGCTATGAACACGAAATGGGCATATGTTTTGAGCCACTCAGCCATTTTATGTAGGTGGAGAAGTTTCCTGTTGGAAATGTGGGACTCAGTGGATTTCAGGTATCTGAAGGATTAGGCCACAGCTGGGTTGGAGTTCTGGTCATCTGAAATCTGAACAGCAGTAAGAAGTGGACAAGAGGTACCGAGGCCTCACCTGTGTTCCTCAGCCTCATTCCTGTTCAAGGTGTTATGTGGTAGAGCTGAGCTTGTCTGGGGAGCTCCCCCCGTGCTGTAATTTTTCTGAAGCTTCCTAAAGCTTCAAAGCAAACAGAGTTGCCCCCCTTCTTCCATTCCTCACAACAGAGAGCCTAAAGATCGAAATGCTGTCCTGTCCTTGAAGTGCCTCTTTTCTTGGCATGTTTTCCACAACAGTGAGAGATGGGCACAACCCCTTAACCCTTTGGTTATGACTCTGAATACTTATCTCGTTCAGTCCTAAGGTTCACAGGAAGTCGATTTTCTAATTATAAAACAGTAGTTAATCCAGCCAAAAGCTTTTAAATGAGAATTGTGATTTATTTGGCTGGCATGTAGCTGTTCCACATTAACATAATTAAAAGGTACAGAGCGAATGAGCTTTTTGCACAGCCTCAACTGGTTTGGTTCAAATTGCAGCTTGGAGATGTATTGCTCGTTAACGCCTATCAGTATAGCCATTAGTCAGCAAAACTTCATGCTTTGTGTAATCTTACCAAGGGAAAACCTGCACAGAATATTCCTTCTTGTTTTCACGTGTGCCGGACTGAAGAAATTAGTTTCCACTCTAAAAATAACAGTGGACTGATTCTTCTCTCTATCCACTGTAAATTGGGAGTGATTTTATTAAAATATCTGGGCTGGTACAGGGAGAAAAACAGATGATGTTAGGAAGGAAGCTGATTTAACATTTCTGAGGCTTGCTTGTGAATTTAAAACTGTTTGTGTTTATTAAAAATACATATCAACGAGCATGTATAGTGTTAATAAAATGTTCTAAAATAGCAACATGAATGCTCATTGTGGTGATTTAATTTCACTATTATTTTTAAGTGCCTGACCTTGATTCAAAATTATTCAGGGATGGTGAATCCACCACGGCTCTTAGCAAAATTGTTCTGTTCATCTCCTACCTTCATAATTAAACATTTCAGCGTTATTTCCAGCCTAAACTTAGCTATATTCAGTCTCTCTTGTCCTATCTTGGTCTGCTGGGTTAAAGAGCTCTTTATAATTCAGCTTCTGACACCCCTAAAACTCATTTGCTTTGTCTATAGATCAATTCCAAGGATGATAATGGTGTTTTGGCTGGATCATGGGACAATCTCTATGCTTATGGAGTCCCACCTTCAGCCTGGACAGGAAGTGTGGACATCCTCTTGGAATATTACAGTTCTAAGCAGCCAGTGCGATATGGACAGTGCTGGGTCTTTGCTGGTGTCTTCAACACGTGTAAGTATCAGTGAGAAAAGCTTCATGCTGCTATTTGATTCTTACGTAGCAGAATGAGCTTTTAGTTTAAACTAGCTAAAATTATTCCTGGCTCTGTGATGATCAGAAGTAAATGGTAGAGATACTTAAAAACGCGTGGCCAAAATAGACACAATAGCTGCACTTCCAGAATGATATACTATTTATTTGTACAGAAAAATGTATTTATTGAATCATAGAGACTAAATTTGGGGTGAGAAAGTTAGTCTTTTGGTATGTTCTCTGTTTCTGTCAGGAAATGGGAGATGAACAGCGGGCTTAGTGTCTAAATGTGCAACTTAAAATTATTACTCAATATGGGGTACTGTGAAGGCATTTTTACCTCAGAAAGGCTGAACATTCTACTTGGGAAGGGGTGTTCTTAGCTAGACTAATATGTACTGTCCCAGCACCGACCTACTGGCACTTTAAACACTTCCTATGGAATTTTTGAGCCAGTACATTGAGGAAAATTCTGGCCTGTTTTATGAATTATCTGGCATTACAAGGTTAAATCTTAATAAGTTTGCTCAAACTAGAACAAATGTATTTCAGCGTCGCAGCGAAAGAGACATTTCAGGTTTTAAAACTGAGTAGGGAAAGCAATGCTGGGTTGGTCTATTTTTTTTTAATTGTCTAGCACTTGCTAACAGCAACATCCCAAATGAATACTCCCTGAACACTGGAACACACTAAGGTATAACAGTGGTAAAGAAAGACACTGTTAATGTAAAAGATACATTTATACAGACAGTGGGGACAAGACATTGGGAGCAATGCATGTGTAAAAAGCTCTTTGCTAATATAGAGCCAAACAGTTCCTTTGCTTATGGGAAAAGCCAATAGAAGAAAATTAAAGTGAGTCTGGCTTAAACGTAGTGATCTCCCCTTGAGGCACTTACAGCTCATGTCAGACTGGGGAGGGCACCATATCAGCCTAGGACCAAGGGGATACAGTGGGCATTTTTGCAGGCTTGGACTCTACTTTGCATTAAGTACTTCTCATCACAGCTGAAGGTTGAAGCTTTGCTTCTTGTATTTAAGATGTGAAAAGAAACTTGCCCATGAATCCTTCCCTTTTTCATCTCTCTGTTACATGTTGCTGTCTTAAGAAATAGCATCATGCTTTTCTTTACATTGTACTTTTAACAAAAATGAAGATTAATCACCCATCTTCTGCAGCAAACATGGAAGTTAAATAATTAACAGCATGTTACAAGTCTGGCTCTTCATCTTTGGGCAGCCCTAGGTATCTTTTCACTTTATTGTTACCTGTCCCATATACGTATATTTCATTCAATGCATAGTTTTCCTTCTGTCCAGGTAGCAGAATTTTGTAACTCATTTTAGTTACCTGAGGTAGTTCAAGAGCTATTCAAAACAGTAGGACCTCAGAAATAAAGCTCTGTTCTGACCACCTATCCTTCTGCTGGCACATGCTTCTCACAGCTCCAGGGAAGGATTCCATTTCAGGTTTCTCTGCTTCTCTTTCATATATCTGGAGAGGTTTGTGCTTTGATTTAGGGAGACTCTGGCAGGTACTCTATCCTTTGACATATGAAATAGTTCATTTTATTTCTGGTGCCATGGGAATATCAATCCATCCAAAGGGCCTGAGAGATGTCTACTTCCTTCTCTGCCTGAGGTCGTATGGTCTGTACTTGATACTCCTCCATCTCTACACAACACAGTGAGTTCAGAAAGGCCCTTGCAAACGTTTCTTATAGATGCAGTTCATCATAGTGACTTTCCAAGGCTACTTTCTCTCGCTAAAAGTGCCTCTTCTGTCTGTCTCTATATCCCAAACATACACACGCATTCTCCCATTTTCCTCCTGCCCTGGCCCAGGATCTCTGTTACACAGTATTTTGCTGTAGGCCACTCTGAAACTGGGGCAATGCCATGGAGCTCTGGAGCCTACTGTGTTAAATGGAGAGGCATATTTATCAGGGGCAAAATTAGATTCAGTTTGCTGACTACTTTAGTCAAGCCAGAGACCTGGGACTTCATACTGTGAGGCTTACTGAAGTATAACGTTTGTCGAGCATTATGAAATTAAAACATTGTTCAGTGGCTTATCTGTTGCATAGCCATTTACATGTCCAGCTGCTGACCACTCCAGGGAGAGGACAGCAAAGGCCTAAACAAACATGCTGAACTTAGAGTATTGTTATAAGTTGTAGTTTGCATTTTTTTTCAGCTGCTGATGTTTTATCATTGTGACCAGTCCAGCTTTCCAAGGTTACTATTTTGTAAACTCTGAATAGTCATCCATTAAAAATGCTAAAACGTTCTGAAAAACGCTCATTAATCTTGAAATTGTCAGACAAATTATTTTCAATGAGCCCTGATGGCTCATGTGGTGGAAACCTGGGAGCGCGCTTGAATTAAGTTTAATCAATAGGTACATATGGTATTGGATGCATTCAGGTAATTTTTCATCCAGTAACTTGAAATGAATGTGCAGTGCTACTCTGTATTGAGAGTCACAGTAGTGACACTAATGAATGTACAAAACCAAGCAGTAGCAGAAGGGGTTGTTCATCTCTGCGGTGTTGGAACTATTTAAAAATACAGTTTTTGACCAAAATGTTTCCCATTTCCAAAAAAAGTCCTCTGTTTTCTGCAGAACCATGTTGGCTCCTACATCAGAACCCAGGATCTTTTTTTGAACAAAAGTCACAACATGTCATCTGGACAGGCTGAGATGATATGTTGTGCTGTGTCTCCACTTCCTCTTGGACCGTGCTCCATGTCCACCAGCCAGGGTGCACCACAAACACAGAAGTTTACTGACTCACTGTTGCACTTCAGATATAGCCATAGCTTTCCCACGTGCCCCAACTTCACCTCTTGTCAACTGAGGGCAAGAGTTGTCAGCTACACTGCAGTGGTTTGAAATTTAGGGGTAGGGAACTTTTTTTTTTTTGATCCTCCTCTTTAAGATCCTTTATGGGAAGAGACCATTGACTCCAAAGTACTACTGCCTAGAAATCAATACAAATTATGTAATACATTTTGTTCAGAATCAAACTCTGACATTTCTTTTGCAAATAATGCAGTTTTCTCCCTTGTTAGCAATCAGCTTCTGCCTTATTCTTTATGTTCTCCAGACCCCATCTGACAGCATATTCCAAAACAGGGAAACTCCAAATCAACCAGGAGACATTTTGTATTCATCTTCATTTTAGCATAGTCTCTCTTAATTCTTCTGGCTTACTGATAATAGGAGTCCTAATGTATTTTGCATTCCATGGAACCTCAAAATTATTTTTCTTTATACCCCATTTGATCTATTCCATCAGGATTTGCCCTGAAAAGCTGCTGTGTGGTCAGTATGCAAGACTGTTGGTAACTGGCCAATTAAGCAATTGTACCATTATATATCCTGAAAGCTCAGCATGTGTGGACCAAACAAAATATTTTACATATTCTATATAAAGAAAGATAGGAGAAATTATTTGGGCTGATTTGGCTGAGTTTTCCCATTTTACTCCTATTATTAATATTTTCTCTTTACTCATCCTGTTATCTGTGAACACAATCCTCATATTTGTCCTTCTCATTCCATTTCTGTTTGACACAGTTCTGAGGTGCCTGGGGATACCTGCAAGACTCATTACCAATTATTCTTCTGCCCATGACAACAATGCCAATTTACAGTTGGACTTCTTTCTAGATGACGAAGGGCAGGTGGACAACAGATTGACCAAAGACTCTATCTGGTGAGTTTTCGTGGCAAATGACTTTATTATGCCAACTATATGCATAGTTAAAAACATAACAAGGGATATACGTGGTTTATTTATTTCTCTTTTCAATAAAGAACATTGCTAGCTTGCAGAAAACACAATGAACTGATGATATGATGATGAATATGAAGTGCTTGTCATTTAAAGAGACAAGCTGTAGGAGATCTATGAGATCAGTACTGATATTACCGTGTAGTGTACATTTCAGTGTGCTGAAGAAGAGTTGACATGTATTTGTACTCCTTAGGGCCAGGCTGGTTCCCAAAATGGAAGAAGGTGGTAGATTGGGCACTTCCATCAGTTTTGAGCAAATTCGAAGAGATACCTCAATATCTACTTCCATCTAATTCTTCTGTTTGTAAGATGTTTGTTGTGTTTTGTACATGCAGTCAGAGTCATAAATGAGTGCTTTCTCAAATAATTTCAGTTTGGTTGAAAAAGAAGCAAGCCAAGCTATTTCACATTACTGAAATGCTATCACCAGATTTATAAAAAGAAACGTTCCTGTGAACAAGAAACGGACTACATATTATTTTAAAGACAGTCCTCTACCTTTCTTCTCGAACTCTTGCTGTCTCCTTTCTGACAGGAGAAGTGTAGCACATATTGATTATATGCTCTCTTCAGTAAAAATTATGTGAGGGTTATCGGGCCTCAAGCCTTTCCTCCTCAGAGTGAAGCAGTGAATGTGACCTCTGTATATATTGCTATATTCAGGAGATACTTGTCTTATTCAGTGTTAATATACTTGATTTGTGTCAATGATACCTTCACCTCATCAGCATAGCTACTCATCAGCTTGTTTCATTAACAACTTAATCCCTGGAAGTCTTTATATTGAAACTGTAATAAATCCATTCTGTGGTGGATGAAATGACTGAACCTGTTGCAGTAACCTCTTTAAGTAATTTCCATAATCTGTTACCAAGATGCAGTTTAAGGAAAGTAATTAGGTTCATTTACATCTGAAGCCTGTATCATAACATCACAGACAATAGGAGAGACTGCAAGGTACCTCTGGAAGTCATTTAGTCCAGTTCCCTGCTAAAAGCACAGTCAGCTACAGCTGAATTTGCTCTATCACCTTCCCAGGGATCAAAGTGAGACTGCTAATTTGGTTGTTCCCTGGATGTTGCTGCTTCTCTGTCTTCAAGAGAAGGATGATATTTGCTTTCTTAAATTGCTCTGGAATCTTCCTCTGTCACCAAGACCTTTCTAAGGCAGATGTGAGTGGCCTCAGAGTAACATCAGCCAGCTCCCTCACTGCTGATAGCTCCATCCCATTAGGTCCATTGGACATCTGTGTGACCACAGAATTTGTTTGCTGCCATGTTTCAGACTCTTCACCATCTTATCTTTTCTTCTACACTTCTCTTAGGCTGATCCATGAATCAACTCTCACTCAGTTTTCATATTTCCTTGTACTTTCCTATCGTTTCATTTCCCAACTGTTTCCCATTCCTTCTGAAATCAGTTCCATATTTTTCCATTCTTTTAGGGCAGGGACAGATGATTTGAAGTCATCCTTGCTCCATTGAAATCTGTACTCAACTTTACAGCAGCATTTCCTCCCACCCTCCTGCTTTTCTTTGGCTTGATTACTTTTTGAACTGCCTTGTTCATCCCTTTTATCCTCCTGATGCATTTATTAGTACATGGTGCACATCACCCTTTGGGCATAAGTTAATATATGTTCCATACCTTTTTTATTTCTCCTCTGTGTCCTTTCTCTTCATTACTTTGTAACACTCCGTGGTAGTCCACATGCAGACTTTATATGGCTTGTGTCTTAACCTTGATTTTATTTTTTGAAATCTTTTGTTACTTTCTGTTTTTTGTTTTGTTTTGTTTTGTTTTTAAGAGGACAAGCTCAAGGTACTTATAATGATTTTTTAAATGTATTTCTCACTTTATTTATAATCTCTTGCAAAGTGGTAACAAAGCTATTTTTCTTTATTAATATATCATTTCTATTGCCTCGTACTGCTGAAGCTGATCTGTTTTCAGGTTTTAAATACCCTCAGACTTCAGGAATACTTGCAGTCCGGATTTTCAGTCCAATCAATCTCTGAGTATGTGGCTCCCTGTGAATGCTATCTGACATTTATTTTTATTAAAGAGCTTTTTCTCCCTTGATATAGGAAACAGCAACAACAACAAAACACATAGACAAAATTACACAGACTTCGCAAAAAGTTATTTTTATACAGCCGGCCAGATTTGGGACACATCAGTACTGCTTCTGTCCCCTTGCTTTGTTCTCCTTGTCTTTCTTAATGATGATATAAAGACACTTAAGGAATACTGCTCTTGGATGGGAATCAAGACTACTCCTGCTGTGAAGTCCAAGCAGAACGGTGTTGGTGCCTCAGCAGAACTTGCTTGGAGTCACCCATCCCCATGTGGGTTCACCCATGTTCTGTGGATTGAGCCCTTCCATGACCTCTGCTCACCCATTCACTTCCTGCTCACTTTTCTCTCCGTGTTATCAGTATCTCTCTCAAACTTCATGGCCAGGATTATTTGCTAATGAAAAAGCAGCTACTGTTTTCAGCATGTGCCTGCCTCATAAGCAATACCAAGTACCCTTCTTAAATTGTCTTCCAGGCATAATACCCACCTGGTCATCTTTTATTAATTTCCCCATTGCTTTGTTTAGTCTATTCGTAATTATCTCTGTAAATATTTAATGGTCACTACATTGATCTGTATAGCCATTCTTGCTTTCTGTAATGTCTCAGGCTTGCTGTAGAATACAAGAAGTACAGATTCAATTTAAGAAATTGTGACTGCAGAGCCAGCTCCTCAGTTGTGCTCACTTCTAGAGCAAATTTTCTGCCACATTTTGGAGAGGGAAATGTTCCCCTCATCCTCCATTCCTTGACACTTACGTGCTTTACAAACAATGTATTTCTTTTCATTCACATTCAATATCTTGACGTGCATTTGTTATTTGTGTGGCAGCAGACATAAAGAAGTTGCTGTCGTGATGTGCTCAAAACTACGCAAATAAAAAACAGTGAGAAAAGTCCTGTCTCCTGGAGTGAACAGAGAAAAATAAGATGCTGCATTATCTAATTACGGATTCGAAGCAGAGCTGCCATTTTCCCTGTTGTTATCCCCTCTTTGATTTTATCATCTTTCCCTCCTGCCTGCTTTTCAGATTATTCTTTTTCAGAACACAAAGTCAATGACACATCTGAGTTTGATTCAAAGTGGACTTTCAGGGTAGGTATTGTCTCTCTCAGCTTTCAAAAGCCCACCTGCCGTAAAGTGCTCCCCCATCCTCAGGTAGCCCTCAGGTGAGCTCTGTTAGCATGATTCAGCATTGACTACTCTCAGCAGCATCAAAAATTCTCTGAGTGTGCGTCATTTTCCTTGAATAATTCCTTTTTCTATAGTGGTGCTTCATTAACACTCCTAACTGACAAGTTTTACCCTGATCTAAGCTTTCATTTCCACTTTGAAACGTCTTGTTAGACAAGCCTCAGATCCTTCCGACTCTGCTATGTGGCTGGTTTTCACCTATTATTAATGAAATGGTCAGAGATTAACAGTCCCCATTCCTGTTGCTAATATCACTGTGTGTGCTAAGGGCTATATCAGCAACTACATTGATGTAATTTTATTCATTTCTGCTGTAGGATATGTATAATTTGAAAGCAGAACTGCCTCTTCTCTACTCTTTGTTTCTCTTCTTTTTCTTTCAGTAATGAAATTCAAATTCTTTGCTGTCTTTATGTACAACTCCCATCCTACATGGCCTTTCTTCTTTGCTTGTGCTCTCCCTTGGGCACAGGTAACACTGCAGGAATAAAGTCACAAGATCCATCTTGCCTACTCATGTTTGAAACTTCTAGTCCACATTGGGATCATGCTGTAGTATGAGGCCTGCCCCAAAAGTAATGCTTCCTATTTTATTATGTTGGCCCATGATATCAGAGGTAGATGTCAGTGATGTGACAGTAGAGGTTGAACCTTTTCACCAGCATTCCAATATATTTTGCTCCCGTGTGACAGGTGGCAGCAGAGTAGCAGACTGACAAATTGATGTCAGACGTGGAAATGGATAGGAAGCAAAGATTTGGAATTGAATTCCTCCATGTAAAAAAAAAAAAAAAAAAAGCAGCCATTGACATTCATCAGTGCTTGCTGAATGTTTATGGATACCAAGCAGTGGACATGAGCACAGTAAGGCAGTGGGTGGTGTGTTTCTGCAGGGGCAACTGTGAAAGACAAGGCACATTCTGGATGGTGGTACACAACTGTCACACCACAAAATGAAGAGTTCTTGTTCTTCACTGGTGAAAATGCTCACCTAGTGATGATGACGATGATGAAAAATAGTGGTTTGTAGCTGAGAATTTGCTCTACTAAATAGTGTGATTGTGCTCATTGTATCCGTTGTAGTTTCCATGGAAATAAACAGGAGGCATTTCCTTTGGAGCGACGTCTCTCTTTCTGCTTCACATCCAACTAAATGAGGGCATTTCAAGCCTAAGCACGTAGATTAATCTCTCTAATAAATTCATCTTCCAGTGGTAGTGTCCTAGTCCCTAAGGCATCACCTGTTCCAGAATGGTCAAAAGTGGATTTCATGGAAAGCTGTACCTTCTTGTAGTGTAACCTCCGTCACTGGTCTGAGAAACTAGAAATTTTCAATAGATAGTCTTACAAAGTCTGTCTTTTTCTCAGCCAGCATGGAAATCAGCTGAGCATAATTTTTTCAGCTATGAAAACAAAGCTATACACTATATTGTTGAATTGATCCTGAAATCTCTTCTGTAGAGGTATCAAAGCTTCAATCTTACTACTTATAAAGCATACCAAGTTTCAGTGCCTTGAAGAAGATTCAAAGCTTGCATTTGTGGGCATATTGAATTGGAGATGTCTTCCACTGATGGAAAGGATTGTAGCCATCCTGAGGTCCATTTTTAGGGACATCAGACTGAAAAGAGATTGCAGTGTGGGTAACTCTCCATATACCCCAACGATCTTCAAGCACTGGAATCTTCTCAGTCATATTTGCATTCAGCACACAGTAGAAGAATAAAGTCTTCTTCAACTTGCAGGCAAAGATCTATAATGACAGATTGTGGCCTTCAGGTTTTAACTAATAGTCATGAAACCAATAGACTTAAAATCTATTCTTTAAAAAGAGCAGACATTTTCACCCTAAATTGACAGGTGTTGTTATTGGAGTAATGATAGGTCACAGATCTGTTGTTGTGCTTCTGCTTCTTTCCAAGAATTTAGTATTCTGATCTCATCTCCTTTCTAAGGAACTATCATTGCTGGAATGAAGCTTGGATGACCAGACCTGATCTTCCTGTTGGTTTTGGAGGATGGCAGGCTGTTGATGGTACACCCCAAGAGACCAGTGATGGTAATACTGCTTGAAGTCCTCCTTAGCTCTCTTCGCAGTGCTTGAGGTTTTTTTGTGGTATATGATTAGGTGACTGTAGCTAAGCACTTGGACTGTGAAAACCCCCTACACCAGATAACCACACTCATTTGTGCTCAGGGCCTTCTCCTGAGTTGTTCTGAGCTCCAAAATAAGTCCTTGTTTTAACACTGCTCATGGCATATGTGCACAAAATCCTGCATGAGGATGGTCTTGCCTGGCTTATGAGAAATGTAGTTCCACTGCCAAAGAAAGGCTTCCAAATTTTTGAAGAACATGTACAGGAGCCTCATCAAATGAATTCCCTTTCATTATGTACCAGCCATTCGCTACAGCCCTTGTTAAACTGACTGAGCTGTAGGCAGGAGAGAAAACGTGAAAAGCCACTGCTGTTTCTTCACAGTCTTTAATTTTGCAATTCTTGAAAGACATTTTTCAGCAGATTTGCAGTGATATCTTTCTCAGGTTAGCTGATCTCTCCCGAAACTACCATCTGCTTTAACCAAAACCAACCTTAACTGCATTTCAACCTTTTGAGACATTCAGTGGGTTTCACAATATCATTAAGTTACCAAGTCATTAGGTAGTTTCACACTTGAGTCTTTGTTGTTTGGAGGGACAGCACAGAAATGAAGCTTTGAAGTTCTCACTTAGGAGTTCTGGTAAGCTAATGAAAAGCTTCACCAAACCCAAGGATTATTTCTCTCCTTACCTCTTTTCCCCACAGGTATGTACAGGTGTGGCCCAGCGTCAGTTCAAGCCATTAAACATGGTCATGTTTGCTTCCAATTTGATGCTCCTTTTGTCTATGCTGAGGTATGTTCCTGAAATTTTTTTTGTGCATTGAGCGTTATCTGTGGGACTGTAGCTGAGACAAAAGAAAGGGCTCCACTGCAGTTTGTAGATTGTGAAGTTATTTGACATAATCACTGCATCAAAGACTAATATCATTATTATTTTTTGGCATGCAAGCCTGTAGGTGTGATATGGCTCTAATAGGTGATATGGATTTCTCTCATCTCAACTCACCAATGTAGAAAGCAGAAAAAGTTGTTCAGATCAAATTTCAGTATGTGGTCATCCAGATTCCAGCTATGATGGCAAATGAGTCACCAGCTCTAGCTACTCATTTTTGTTAGCTGTGACCTCCTTCTCAGGCTTGCCAGCAAACCTGGTTATGTTAAGGCTTCACTGCTTATTTCAGTCAAAATTAATGCTGTGATTTTAAAGACATCATTGCTCACCATGTTCCTTTTGGCTGCTTTGAGTCAGGGAGTGCTCACATGGGCAGTCTGACTGACAGATCTGAGAAGGTTATATCTCCATGAGGAACGAGGGAACCTGGCCTGGTGTTTTAACCTCTTACCCCACCAGAGTTGTGCCCAGAACTGCAGCAGCTGTAGAGCAAGTCTCACTCAAATTGAGTTGTATATAGCTTAGCACAGAAGAGAATAAGTATGTTTTATCTATGAAACACTCTCCTCTGGAATAAATCTTTTGATGTGAGGAATGTGTAATCGTGCTCCCCAAGTCTAAATGATATTTCTGTAGCTTACTCAGGTTTACTCTGGCTGATGTTCTGGAGTTGCATATAGTAAAATGCATCTAGTCATTATTGTAGAGTATGTCTAATTTTAAACATGGTATTTCAGTGTAATTAGTAGGACTTCAAATCAACACGGGGAGAGTAGACCCACAGAAAGAGATCTGGGGATTATGACTGACAGCAAACCAAATGTGAGCAAGCGGTGTGCCCTGCCAGCTCAAAGGGCCAATCATCCCTGGGATGCATCAGGCCCTGCACTGCCACCAGGCAAAGGAAGGGGTTGTCCTGCTGTGCTCCATACTATGCATTCACACCTCTAGCACTTGGGGCAGGTCTGAGTACCACAACATAAAGAGGGCATCAAACTGTTAGCATTCAAAGATGGTGAAGGGTCTGGAGGAAAAGGTGTATGAAGAGCGGCTAATGTGCCTTGGTTTGTTTAGCCCAGAGCAGAGGAGGCTGAGGGGAGACCTTGTGGCAGCCTCATTGGATTTGAATGTTGGATGGTCCTACAAGGAGCCAGGAGTGTGGAGCCAGGAGCTGGATTTGATGATCCTTGTGGGCCCCTTACAACTCAAGATATTTTCTGATTCTGTGATTCTAGTATGTGATTGTTTTGAGAGGACCTATAATGGCTTCCCTTGCTTTCTTTACTTCCATATATCTCAATCCTTTCTCATTTGATTTTATAGGTGAATAGTGATGTTATTTACTCAAGAATGGGAAAAAATGGATCCCAAGTGATAGAAAAAATTGACACAACCCATATTGGGAAGCTGATTGTGACCAAGGGAGTCGGAAGTGATGATATGGTAGACATTACTGAGAACTACAAGTTCCAAGAAGGTAACCTGAAAAAGAATGGGACCATACCAACATAGGTTTGCCTGAATCAGATCTTGAACTGTGAATTTACAGACTTCTGGCACTTTTTCCACTGCATGGAAAGCTGCCAACATGCCCTCTGGAACTCTCTCATTTCTAGCTCCAGCAGCCTTGCAGATGTCTTGATAGGAACACAAACTTTGTTTGCTACTAGAAATGCTTCATCCTGAGTAAGCTGTGGTGAAAACAAAGTGCCATCATGGAATAACTTGAAGCATACAAAGCAATTCAAAGGTTTCTATACAGTTGCTTAGGCATTTCTTATCCAGGCCTGAGAAGGACAGATGTTTGCAAAGAGTAAATCAGTGTAGCTTCATTATTATTAGCTAAGCTATATTAATTTGTTGGGTATAGCTTCAGTCTTCAAGACCATCTCAAATGGAAGTTGTAAACATTTAATATTAACTTTACCACATGAAAGTTCACTGTTCTCATCCATTAATTTCAAGTGCCACAAAGTGTAAAACACACACTTCTGTGAGTGGGCTAATGCAGTATTCCTGGTTCTCTTATTAATTTGATTTTCTTTTGTTTTTAGGCTCCGCAGAAGAAAGACTGGCTTTGGAGACAGCTGTAATGTATGGTGTTAAAAAGCAAACTACACAACCCAGCACATATCAACCACAAAAGGATGTCGAGATGGATCTCCAAGTGCAAAAGGCAGTCCTTGGCAGTGACTTTAAAGTTATTATAATATTCAGGAACAAGAGCCGCAACTCCTACACTGCTACTACATACCTCTCAGGCAACATAGTGTTTTATACTGGTGTCACAAAGAGTGAATTCAAGAAACATTCTTTCAGTGCAAAACTGGATCCTCTTTCGTGTAAGAGTCGCCTGGTTGTTTTCAAACCTACTAACCTTATTTCTTTGTGTCATTAACTGTCATCAACATCACTAACCATGGAGAGAGCCAATTCTAGTAGCTAAGAGTAAGATACTCTACTGGGTATCAACGAGCTCTGATTCCACGGTCATTTAGAGCTGAGGCAGTTTTCTTCAGGCTATTGCTCACTACAAAATGCTCTCCTACACTGGGCTGCATGACTGATTGATTCCAAGTACAAATCTGGCTTTGGAGGATGGAGTGTTTCAGGCTTTGTGTATTTAAAGTGATCTAAAAAGTGCATCTTTAGCTAGACAATGCTACTATACAGCAGGGGCATTTGTCAGCTGGGGACACACTCTGAAGGTGACTTATCTTTCCCTGTGTAGTATTTGCTTTTTCCAGTGCCTTCTGGACTGTGGTCCAGAAGGGGAGATCATTCTTCTACATTTTCATGAGAAAAATTGCTCTGGACATCCTAGCTCACACAGCTGAGGGCAAGAATTCACACTTCCCAAAGTAGGGAAGAGGGATGTTCTCTTTTTTTTTTATTTTGGACTTAACTGACCTGTGTTATTTTGGTCATAGCAGCTCCATCTGGAAAGCAGTCAGTAAGTGCTGAGGATCTGCCATTCTTCAGTGCCATGGAGCAAGCTGGTTTGCACAGCCCTGGTTTCTCCAGCAGCAAGTGTCTGCCAATCACTTGTTTTTCTGACAGGCCAGTGCTCTTAGCTCAATGAGTCCAGATCAGGAAAAGTAATGAAAACATGCTCTGAAGCAAGCTAAATCGGAGTCTTAGATTCTTCCTGAGTTCCCTACTGGGACAGTAAGGAGCAATGATTTTGCCTTCTTGATGCTGCTACTGGGCAAAAGCAATCTCTGCTGAGTACAGTGGGAGTGGCAGGATGCTGGAAGCCCATAGGATGGATCTGGTGTTGGATCACAGCAAAGCTGGATCTGGCTGAACATCTCACCTGTCTTTTCTGTCTTGTCCCAGCTCAAGAAGCACTGCAAGTCTTCTCAAAGAGGCCAGGTTTCATTTCAGTGAGAAACCTCTGTGGAATCACAGTTCCTTCTGTGTCTTGAAGCAACCCTTATGCTTTCTTCCTAACTTTATTTATTTACTATTAATATTTACTAAAACTGCACATTTTGATGTGGAGCTGATTAATCTCCATAAACTAGGTGTCCATTTAGAAGGATCTGCGTTGTGAAAGTTATTGAAAATTCCACCTCCAGGCTGTAACAAAGCTCTGACAGCTGTTTTCTAACTCCTCCAAATCATTTGCAAGGACTTTGGATATGGACTCTCTGGGTTGCATTGAATTGTTCCATCAGAACCTATCAAAACACAGTGTGAGGTTTGAAATTTCATTGCATCAGTTATTAAATATTTGATCTGAAATACTGCAAAACTTCTGGAGATTTAGGTAGGCACAGTAAAAAGATCAATTTCAACTGCTTAGTCTAAATTCCACACCACTTTTATAACAGGGAATTCAGCTATATCATAGGAGATGTGTAAGTATTGATTATACTTCTTGCTGTGCTTCGTGCTTGCTTTCAGGACTTACAGTAAAGTTCTCTTGCACTAAAGGTATATGTAAGTTATTATCACCCCAAATATGGCTTCTTTAGTGTTTTGAGGTTCATCTATCTCCTCTGCTAAAGAATTGAAATGAATAGGTAATGTTTTAAGCATCACCAAGCTTTGTTGTTCATTTTTTCTAAGTAAATTGTTTCTGAAAAGCTGCCTGAAACTGTCCTGTAAGCTCTAAATTGACCACTGGTGAGTGAGCACAGAGAAAGGCACCTAAGAGAACAGAACATGCTTTTTCATTTTATTTTGTATATACAAAAAGTGTGTGTCCCCACTACTGCCTCTGGCCCAGGCAACATGTTTTAAGGCATTACCACTTTTCAACGTGGAAATTAGCTCACCATTTAACTACAGTCACCAACTTGTAGAGCACTTTGCCCAACAACAGGACAAAAAAAACCCCCAACTCTCACAAGTTATGTCTTCTCTGAAGGTACTACATAAAACTTGAACATAAATCCTTTTGCCTTTTCCTTGGAAAGCAGTACACATGCAGGCAGGAATCATGTTTGAGCAGATGGGCAGTGTGAAGGGAGGCAGCGTAATCATTTGCAGCTGTGTGAGCACAGTCTGTCAGAGGTGTGTGGTAGAGGGATACCTCCTGAGGCACTCAAGCACAATTTGTAGGCTTCATTCATGCCAGTAAGTGTATACGTATCTGGAGGTAATAAAACACTACAGTATAATAAAGAAGTGTCAAAAGCATTCTTCCAGACTGTGATATTAAAAGGATGAAGCAAAGTAAGTATTCAAACAGGAAGTGAATGAATGCATGATTTTCAGGGTAATGATTAAAGGAATTGTGTGGGTTGAAAACATCTTTGAGGATTTGAATAGCTTAAACCTTCCAGAGCCTTCAAAGGTGCTCTCTATTCAGTTATATTTAGTTTTCTTCTTCTTCTTCTTCTTCTTCTTCTTTTTTTTTTTTTTTGAAAGGCTGCAAGGCAGCTTGATTTTGTGTCTCCCTTGGCTTTCCCGGGTGCTGAAAGCAGTACTGGCAACTTACCAGCACAGCCAGTGCTAAGGAAATGGAAGTCTATTATTCTTTCTTTTCCCTGCAGTGATTAAATTTAAACAGAAAAATTCTTCTCTCCTTCCACTATAAAGCAAATTCTACTGAGTAACGTATTTATTTATTTATTTACTTATTTGTTTACCTTACACGGATGAGAAATACCTTGCCTCATTTATAATTTACGATTTGGGGCATTGTGGGAATTTCTTTTAAAAGAGATGCAAAGTGAGAGGGAGGTTGGGAACACATCAAGTAAATTTGAGGCTGGCCTGGTAAATCCAGGTCAGGTGGTTACCGAGGAAATAACTCTGAAACCAAATCGGGAACCTGGTTTTGATATGAGCAGATCAAAAGTGTAAAAAGGAGTGAATGTGTTCACCCAATTGAGTTCAATTATCTCAGTGTGTACCATGTATGTCACAAATATGATACAAATGATGGATGACAATAATAATTACAGTTAACAGATGGGAGATCTTGATATATTTACTTGGTTTATAATGAATTTTTTTAAAGGCAAGATCTCCAGATCTATATATTCTGCTTGGTCAGTTAGCAGATCTGCCTCTGCATCACATTCTCACACCATTGTTGGTCTGGGAATTGCAGTTCAATATGGTTACATTAATGATTCCCTGCATCTCAACCATCTAGCCCAGGGGGACTTGTTCCTTCCAATAATTATTGTCAGGAAGCACATGAAGGCTCTCTGGAGGGCATGCTGGAGACAGGAGGAGTCATTTGCTAAATGTTGCATGCAAGCCCATTACAGGACAAAGGCAGATATCCAGACATGTCCTGGGGAGCAGGCAGTCTCCCAAGTAGCCTGCAAACGCCTAAACATCTGCTCTGGTGGCTTCTTTGGTGGCATCTCTCTGCAGGGAAGAGAAGCAGAGAAAGCTTGGGAATAAAGGGGAAAAGCAAAGATTTACAAGGGCAGCACTCAGGACTGGTTTTAACCTCTGTGTCCAGCAGCTACTTACTGCCAGTGTTGCTTCTCACTTATTTTGTGGTAGTGCCTGGGAACCTTCAGTAGTGTCCTGGGCCTGTGGTGACAGGCAGGGGCAGAAGCTATGCAGAAACCCAGCCATTACCTCAAGGAGTTCACAACCTAAATGCAAAGAGAACAAAACATGAGAGGAAATAATGACGTAAAGGAATAAAGGTAGTTCGGGCAACAGAAAAAAGTCATTCTTTGGTGCTGGGTCACCTTTCTCCAAGGTATTCATGTAACTGCCATTGAACATGATGAGAGAGTTCAGATGCATTTTTTCTTTTCTGTTTCTCCCCTCAGCTAATGCTTTCGAGGTTATGATCACATCAGCCGAGTATCTCAGTGACCTGCTGGACCAAGCCTCTTTTCACTTCTTTTTGACGGCACGGATCAATGAAACAGGGAAGGTTCTGGCTATGCAGAAGGCAATGGTCCTGGAAATTCCCACCCTGAAAATCAAGGTATCTCAGGATTGTGAAGGAGATAAGTGATCATCATGGTGTGTGGGGGCTGTTTGTTGACTTCTGGGATATTGACCTGTGCATGTGTGCATGTTAAACCTCTGGTCTAACATGAACCTTATGAACAGCTACCCATTGGAGTGTATGAGAGTGTATATATGTTACATATTGCACTGAGCAGCCTACACTCGAGTCTGCATTACCTGTAAAAGAGAGCTAGAGTGGAGGAAGGAGAGGAAAAGTTGTGAGAAAGCTGGGGAAGCTCAAAGGGTGAAAGAGAGATTACTCACTCAAGTCACTCAGGTCTTCAACTACTTCAAAAGTATTCTATGTAAAGCAGTGTGATACAGAGACCTCTTGCTGAAAAACAGATTAATGCTATTGCTGAAGTAAATTTGCTTGGAAAGTTCCTGCCCTTTTTATGGAAGCTTCTTCCAAACATGGATGGGTGATCTGCCTTTGGAATGGTACTTTCAAAGTAGTGCTTTGCTGCTGCTCTATGAGGGTACTGTCAGTAGGGTTTTAAATATTTCTGCAGTTGGAGGCATGGTACATCTGAAACTAGAAGTGTAGTGACTGATAGGACATGGACTTTATGCTGTATTGCAAAGACTGTTTCAGAAATGGTCTGATAAGAATATTACTATTTTCAAACTGATTTTTTTTTTTTTTAATTGAGCATTCCAGAGACAAGATAGGCAAAATGGGTATTTGAAGCAGTGTTTATCTTAAATGTAGAGTTCTTTCAATTCAATATTTGAACAGAACATCTTATACAGGATCCTCAGTTTCAGCTTCAAAACATTGATCCTCCCTGCTCTTATGAACAAAGGATGATTAGTATATATGGGATATGCTGTTGCCCAATATCCACATCTTCTAGTAAAACTGAGTTTCTCTCCTCTCTACTTCTTTTTCATATATAAATACTTGAAATTTCATATATATATACTACTTTTTCATATATAAATACATGAAATTTTAACAGCTGATTTTTTTTTAAGCATGCTTGTATGCACACGTGTATGTATGTATTTTTTTGGAAACTTTGCTGTGTTGCTTTTTTAAGAAACCTGAGGAAGCTATCTCCCTCGTTTTCATCAGACTTCTTCATTGAACATGTTTGTCAAACTGGAGTTCTTAATGGGAAAGTAAAGGAGAAGAATGAAAAGGCTTCTTTCCTTTCACATCTTTGGATACACCTTTGATCTTTCTCTGGTTGTCTAAGGAGACTGTCAGAGTTAACAGTAGAGGAAATTACACTTTATTCTTATTTAGCTTGACATCAGATTACAGAAGTAATCTTGGCAAATACAAGTCACGATCTCAGCTGCATGTGTGGGAATTCAGGACGATTTTGAATTCCCTCATGTATCAATGATCTTCAAACACCTAAATGGGCAATTGAAATAAGGAGGACATAAGTCCTCTAATTGGGCTAGAGCTTCTGAATATGCCACTTTTTTTGCTAATTCAGGTGGCTAAATGCTAATCAAGCACTTAGTTGTAAGTGTCTCATCTGTTATCCCAGTCAATATATTGGTATTTGTCACGGAGTGATCCCTTAGACCAGAGTCTTTCCAGCTTTTTATAACTGCCAGACTCCTTAACTATTTGCAGGAGGACTGCAGACTCCATCATAGCATTTTAGTTTTACCTAGAAGTTACTTCTTTTTCTTAGCTACCTTTCTCAAAGCCCTTTCAAATCTTTTGTGGACCCGCTGGCATCTACCGGTTGTAAAATGAAAATCCTGCTGGAGCCATGCACGTCAGGGCTGGCAGGGAGCCTGGGGAGAGAGTAGAATAAGGGAGAATGCCTATGTTTATCCAGTTTCTCCCCCACTTGGACCTCAGGTCCAGGACTGTGAAAGCAGATTTCTACTTTTCCTGTAGAAATGTTGTCCCATCATGGGTAGAAAAAAAATGGGTAGAAGAATCTGTAGTAGTAGAGTCTATGGGCCCATCAAACTGTTTTCCTCTGGCTAGACTCTCTCTGCTTTGTGTTCTTTTGCTACATGTTCCATTTCCCCCTCTCTCTTTCCTTACTGGTACTGTGTTTTTAACCCTATGGATTTCACTGTGGGGCATTTTATAATTACGAGCTTGCAAAGCTTTATCCTTACTTTGTTCTGCAGACTAAAGGCGAGATGGTCGTTGATAGAGAAATGGCTGTGGTTGTGGAGTTCACCAACCCTCTGAAACAAAACCTGGAGAACGTCACACTCCGCCTTGAGGGCCCCGGTGTGCTGAGGACAATGAAAAAGGAGTTCAGGTATGGAAGCAAACACAATGGCCTCCTTCTTGCTCATGGGAGGCAGCTCACAAGAGACTCCTAACTAATGCAGTGCTGAATAATTCAGACGCTCTCTTTACTTTAAAAATCAGTACGTAGAGGAGCTATAAGTCTCAACAGTCAGGAGTTATGTTGTCCTTTGTGCAAAGGGGGACTGTGATAACATTTCATCTGTTCAGCACCAGTGTTGGAGAACAGTGTTGTGGCTGGAGGTAGCTGCTAATGCAGATAAAGTTTACTCTTTCACTGCATTACATAATTCTTAGTGCTTGACAATAGCACCTACGAGTCGCTATCACTGGAAGACAGATTTATCAGACACATGAGGTGTTTACTGCCACTCACTCAGTATGTGCAAATCTACTCTGGTGCTGCTCTTCAAAAAGACTTTTCTTCACTCATGTTAGTCATGATTATACAAGATGTTCAGATATCTCAGATGATCTTTACAAACTTAATGTCAAGACATAAAATGTGTGCTGGATGCAGTAGAGCCTGCTGAGATATCTGTACACAAGCACTTCCTCCTCAGCCTGTGGAAAAGGAGAGGTTTCAGTGGCTTTCATTATACACAGTTGTGCTTCACAGTGACATGGGAGTGCTTCTGCATGAGAAGGTACTTTTCTAAACCCTCTTTCCATTTGAGTTCAGTGTTACAAGATTGTCATTAACCAGTTCCAGGATACGTAACTGGGATCCTTGGAATATTTTGCAGTCATTGCTTATTCTTGGACAGCCAAAGTGATGCTATCTATCATTACCTGTGCTGATCATCTCCAGGTTTGTGCAAAAGGAGTTTGAAAAATTGCCTGTACTTCAGCAGCTGCATAATTTGTCAGTATTATCTGCAGCCAGTAGGGGAGGTCTGAGCCTGATGGCACCTGGGCCAGGGATAAAGAGATCAAAACCAGTCTCTAGAGTGGAGCTGGACAGAAAAATGACTGTGAAAGGGCATCCTATTGCGCTTGCTTTGTGCACGTGGTATATCACAGGTGCTGCTGAACATGACTCAGCACAGTCCACAGGAGTTACACAAGTTGCAGCAGTAGCCCTTCTTGCTGCACAGCTGTTCCAGCCCCCCTGTTATTCTGCATCCTTCATGTTCCAAGAAATGCAGTGGGCTGTTCTCACCTTCAAGGATGCAGGAGTTGTTGTCAGGTACATCAAAGGCACAGAAGTCAGGGAGAAGCATGACTCACAGAACAGACGTCATTTTCCCTCAAGTCACCATGTTTTCCCCTTTGCAGTAGTGCCCTTGGCATCATTTAAAAATGGAAATGGATGAGCTTAGTCATTTTAAAATCTGTGATTTAACTTCTCTTAGATGAATGAAGGCTGCAGGTTATACACATAGAGGACGGAGCAGGGAGCAGTTGTAGTTTATTTAAATAATAATCACATTTGCCTCCATGCATTCAGAGTGATAAATGGCTCCTGTGTGTGATGGCTCAGCATATTACACAGAACCATTCATCACTGAATTCTCTCTCAGGAAAATCGGATTGGGGTGGCTTTACTACACTTGCTAAGGGAATTAAGCCTTTTCTGGGCCTCCCCTCTCCTTCCACTTCTTCCATATCCATCAGCAACTGTCACAAATGGGACTTGTCTTTAGCAATTGTTTGTGGGGATGAGACTTTTGACCTCAAGGTATTTTTAACATAGCTTTTTTATATCATATTGGTCACTCCACAAAACCGATACATGTGATCCAGTTGATACAACATTATTATGGGAATGAAGTGGCATGGGGGCTTCCGTCTTCATTATTCACAAGTCATATTTTGCTATTAGCTGGAGGCAGATGAAGAACATTACTTATGGAAAAGCCTTTGGCAGCAGCAGTGCCTACATGTGGTACAGTCTTTGCACAACAGATGAAAATTAACCAGGCAGTGATAGATATTGTTAAAAGGATTTTAGGCAAGCATACATTCACACTAGCTTGTAAGTCACTTAGGTTGTTTCTACATATCAGAGCTCAGTTAGTATTAGCATTTGTAGAGGGAAGTAAGTTGTTTTATTAGTCGGACAGTAGAGAAATAGGAAAAAGTGGGTCTGGTTTCCCAACACAGCTGTTGTCTTCCTGCAAATATATGTACATATATATGCAGAGATAATAGCAGTATAAATCAGAGATGATAGCACTGTGCCTTCTCACTGGGGTACTGTGGAGAAGTGGTCTGAGAACCTTCATCCTCAGAGAATCTGTCCCCCAGGTGCACATGAAAGTAGACCGAACCTTGCTGCATGGGAGACTTGTATAATATCTTCATCACTTTCTGTACAGATCATACCTTGCAGATAATTCACATAACTTCCAAAATAAAAATAGTATTTAACCTTGTGCAGCAAATGAAGTCATCACTTTATCATGCTGCCATTTTAGTGGGCATTTGATGAAGCAGCTAAGGGGAACAGAACATCTCTCATTAAGAACAAAGATAAAAAGAAGGAAGGCACTCACTAGAATCAGCCTGCACATGCTCACACTGAAAATGTGAGCTTTCTCTACTGCTGCTTTTCTAAAACTCAGTATCCATATACCGAGTTTTTGCGCTGTATGCACAAAATGTAATGCAGTGTTGTGTATAAATATCCAAGCTAACTGCTAAGGAGCTAGAATGGCTCTTACTCTAGCAATCACAGACTTGCACTAAAACAGTAATCAGGTGGGAGGATCCTCAGCTACCTCATTTAGTGTTAGTAAGATTTCTTGTCTTGTCACAACTTCTGCTAAGCCTGGGCAGCCAGCGTGTGCAGACTCTGGCACAGGACAAGACATGACATCTGTATGGGAACTGTTGAGTCACGGCCTGAACAACTGATTGATCACCTGAGGCAAGGACTGAGTCAGCCATGGGAGCAGAGGTGAAGGTAATTCACCTGTGTGACCAGAAGGGGTGGAGCCTGGCTGCATCTCTCCTAGACCCCATTTAAGGGCTGACTGCCACTGGGGAAGGATCTCTTTCTGGAGATCCTTCCTCTGTGGAGTCTTTCCTGCTAACCTAGATCTTCAGATGCAGGTGAGCATTTCTTCCCTGTTTGTTTCTTTTCCCATTTTCACCACAATACTCATTCCAGCTATAACACCAACTGGAGCAACATCTAATAGCTAAATCCTACCAGATGAGAGTTTTCAATGCTGACTAAAATTTAAGCTTACTTTATTCTTGCTTTATTCAGCTATTTAAAGAGTACCGTACCCATGTGAGATGTGAATGCTGTCTCAATTCATAGTCTTCTTAATGCTGAGGAAAATAACTTTCATTTTTTTTAAATAACTCCTCACTCTTCCACCTTCTCCTTTGGTTTCTTTAACACAGCTATATCCTGACATCCCCCTAACATAATCAATCAATATCAGCCTTCAAAATCTGTACACAAAAGGTAGTGAAAGAATTGAGAAAATGGGTATCAATTTTCAAGGCTCTCTGTGCATGTTAATTGAAAATCAGAAGCAGTGCAGAATACATTTGGTTTATACTATGAGTAGTCATACATAGTACAAAAGAATAATGCTAACAGCAGGACTCCAAAAAAAAGCTGTCATGTAAAATGTGGCTTGGTGAGGGGATTTCCCAATGTTATGTCTGTGACAGAGGGTCTCAGCAGCTCATCAGTGCTGTGCCAGGCTCTCATGGGGATAGCCAGAAGTTATTTAACCATTTAAGGAATCACCAAATGTGGCCTACAGTACATGCATGAAAAGGAAATATAAAGTAGAAAAAATATGTGTTGGCTATAAACAATTTCATTCTGAAAGTGGACATGAGAGGAAACGGCAGGAGACAGAGGAAACCTGATTCATTTTGGAAATTTAGAATCTGCCTCGAGGAAGGGCTAGAAAAGGCTTTGACAGAGCTAGTGCTGAGAGGAGTGGAAAGTTAAGGAAATAATTTATAGGACACTTAAGAGAATAGGTGAAACATAAAAAGATCGAGACATGTTATATTGTCCACCTTCCGTTTCTCTGATTCTTGATCAGGTTGAGAGTGTTGTCTGATTACTATACTGTTACTTTCCTTTTTTTTTTTTTTCCTACAGGCAAATCCCAGCAATGTCTACCTTGATCTGGGAAGTAAAATGTATCCCAAAACGACCAGGGTTACGAAAGCTGATTGCAAGCCTGAATTGTGATGCTTTGAGGCACGTGTATGGTGAGCTGAATATCCAGATTCAGAAACCATGAAGCAAGATGCCATCTTCATCCTTTCATTTTGCTCTCATGTTTCAAAATACCACATTAGAGGAGAAAAAAGAGACAGTGGTAGAAATCTGCTTTTTGTTTTTTTTATCATCCTTGAGTTTCACTAGATTCAATAAGGAAGAGTAAATGGCGACACAGGGGAGAGCATAAAAAGAAATCTGTATGGTGAATGATTCAAAATTAGATACACGTAATCAAAGGCAATTCTAGGCCATATTATTGCTGTAGTTCACTTGTATTTATGGTCTTTTGCAGTAGTGCTGCAAGGGAATCTGAAAGGCTCCATTCACCAAAGTAGTCTGAACTTTAGTTTTAATTAAGGCCTGATATTTCACTGAAAAGAAAAAAAGGAAGAACTCAGTGTTATAAATTCTTAGAGTGAATTACACAACCTTATGGTAGATCGTTCAGGCTGCAATAAAAACAGGTATTTCTAGCTAACAGGACTGCTTTATCTTACAGTGTTATAATTTTAGTTAATGGAGAGCACGCTTTGCTGGAAGCACTTATTAGGGTTTGATATCTACCAAATATTCCCAGCTCTCACTTCTCACTTGCCACTTCACTCTGCTTTTTCTCCTGTTTTTTTTTTTTCTTTTTTTTTTTTTTCCATGTGTCTATGCGCCCATTCATAGTCACTCTTTTGCTTCATACTATTCCTTCTGTTTGATTGATGAAAATTCATAGCTTTTCGTGCTTCTGCTTAGAGTTTGTCACACCAGTCTTGCATTTTCTGGTCACATCTCTCGCATATGGTATGTTCTCCATTCTTTTCTGCCTTTTCTTCTCTCCTCATTTCTCATGTGTGTATGTTCTGGGGAGTTCACTGCCCATGGCATTCCAGGCTCTGCCACCTGGCCCATGGGGCAAAGGAAAGCAGAGTGAGGAGTAGCCTGCCAGCCCACAAACCTAACAAACATCCCATGTGAACTGTGCCCAAGAGTCACCAAGAAATCATTGCCTGGGAAGACTGAGGGACAGAAGCTCAGCTTACAGGAATAAAAATGCATCCTGAGGTTCAAAAAATCTGCAAGCTGGTCAGCCTTCTCCCTTGCTTGCAGCATGTTCCTCTGTGGGTGCAATGAGGCCTCCCAAGGCCTTGATCCTCTCCTGAAGTCATTCTAGCACAAAGAGTGCTCTGAGTCTGTGGTTCACGCTCCACTTTATAGAATCATTCTGAGCCATGGACTCCCATGTGCTAGGGGAGCAAGCTATGTGTGTATGGTCATTACTCATCCCTCCTGAACTCCTTCTCAGGACCTTTTTCCACGTGAGATAAAAATGCACATGCTGCAGTCCCCAGCTGTGGCCATTCTCTCTTAGCCTCTGGGGGTAAGAGCATATCCCATATGAATGGCACAGGTGAGACAACAGTTTCCCAAGAGGTTAAAAGGAACCTCATGCTCATAAAACACTGTGGTTTTACTATGCCAGGTCATTTTGTGATCTCGTTAGTGAGAGAGCAGGGGAGCTATGCCTTCTTGCCTTCTCCTTCTTGCTGCATATGACTTTCTGCAAAACTGGTGACCAGTTGTTAAAAATAAGTAAGCCCAGGAGGGGAGAAATGCAGGTTGCCCTTTTGCTGAAGTATGTGGAGCAAAGCAGAGATTCACACCACGTCACATCACCTGTTCAGTGAATAACCATGGATTCTGGAACACCAAACCCTTTGGGGCTTTTGCTTCAGACATGGTGATGCACTCATTTTGTACAGCTTATGAGACTGCACTGTACACTCTGCAATGTCAAAATCTCCTGGAGAAGTCCTCTGTGGCACAGGGGACAGAACAGTATGTTGTAAATGCGCAGCGACCATCTTTGTTCAGTAATTAAGCAGTTTTAATGGAGTTTACATCATCTAATACAATTATCCATTTTTTGCTCTTGTCTATAAACCTGCTTTCCATTCTAATCTTTTATTACTACAATGTAATAGGAATTTACAATAAAGTATATCTATCTGATTGTGCTCACGTTGTGTGTCCTATATTTTGATCAATTGCTTCTTCTATGTTGCAGCACTACAGACACCACTTGCTGCATCTTAAGTACAAGCTGAAAAAGTTTGCGTCTTAGCCGTACTGATAAAGGTGTCTTCTCGTGCTGAGGAGGAAGTTTTGCCTTTATTTCAGAAAAAAAACAAGGGAGGAAAAGAACATTTATTTAGGATGTTTGACTGTTTGTTTTTCTTTCTGACTGTCTACCTGATGCATTGGAGAAGGTGAGCACATAGCTGTGCTAGCAAAGAGAATCACTGGTTTCTCCTGGAAATTGCTTTAATATGTCAGAGCCCATTAAGAGGCCTATGTTCTCCTAATGAAATCTTACCTGCATCCCACTTCTTTAGTGTCTTCCTCTCAGGTAAATATTCTAAGGCACTTTACTATCAGCCGTTAAACTGAGTCATATTCACTGAGAAACAGGAAATAATTTAATAAATACTTTGCAGAGGGATATATGGGAGTGAAGAGAAGTTCAGTGATGGTTGTGAAGGAAGCCAGGGATGTCAGCAGCTCTTGGCAGTGCTGTACAGAGCTGCTTACAGAAACTTAAGAACAGAAGAAGAATGGTCTCTAGGATTTCAAGTACTCATCCTGCTGTGCACGGATTGTTGATTGAGAAAACCTGACTGGGGATGCAGGGAGTACTCTGATAATACCATATATTTGCACAGAAAATGATAATCGGGTCTTTTGCTTCTCACCCTGTGATCTACCCAAGGTCATTTGAGTATATGTTCTAATAACATCCTACATATTGTTCTTCACTGGTTCACAGAACCACAGTGGATCTGAATTTGTTATATGTGATGCATTTTACTCACATTAGCTACTAGTTTGTTCTCCTTTGTTATCTCTGCACAAGTACTCGTGTTGTACTCCTGTGATAGCCAGTAGTTGAACTACTGGGAGCTTATCTGCTGCCTGGGGCCTCCATCATCATCCTGTTGGCTCCTATTATCATCCTATGTAGTGAGCATTACTTTTTAGGCTCAGAAGTAGTTTATTCTCCACAGAATGGCTACCTACTATTCCTGTCTATTAGTTACCAAATGTACATGTAAAAATAAATATTTCATCATGCAATAGTAGAAAGCAAAGCAGAAGCTGAAACAAAATCAGTAATAGACATCAGGTCATTAGATAATTGCTCTTACAGCTAAACAAATCACAGACAAATCCTGACAAGTCCCAGTGCCCATGTTGTTAGCTTATCAGCAAGCTGTGACCTTTCACAAGCAATGACAGCATCTTATTTGTGGAAAGGAATCAGAAAATGTGACTAAGCATTGGTTTATGACTAGTTCTGCCAGTGATAATTAGTTTGAACTGAAAGTAATTAATACAGTACTCTGCTGAATGGGTGAGAGCTTCTTTCCACCCTCTTCTCTTTCTGGGGCCTTATATACAGACCTTGTATGTCTACCTTTGTCTTTCTTGTGGAGAAGATTGTTGCTGTTGGCTTCTGAGTGGTTGTGTGATGAAGGAAGATGACTAGGTTAAAATCGGGTGGGAAATGTATTTGAGCTTGTTCAAGGCAAAATTAATAGCCCTATTCTGAAAGAGAAAAGTCAAAGCGTGCCATGGGTGTTGTTTTCATTTGTTTTGGAGCTGGCCTGATAGCTGGTACCAAGCAGGGACACAGAATGTTTATTAGAGAAATATACATTGGAGTAGCACCTCTAGTGGAAGACAGTGCCTGGAAGAAGCTAGGGGGCTTTGGCATGTAGATGAGAGGGTTTGACTCTTGCTTAATGGCAAAATTGAAAAGATTTGAGTTGAATAATATTGAAGAAAGCAAACAAGAACTGTTTTGGCTAACACACAGCTCTTGTTAAGGCCTGAGGTATGCAGGGAGCAGTGCCACCTGGCCAAAGCAAGAGCAACGCATGGGCAGAGCATGATGGACAGGAAGATCTAAAGGTCACTATGTAGCCACCAGCACCTGCAGTTTGCTGTCTCCTGCTGCCATAGTCCTGTATTAATTTTCGGGCAGTTCTTCAGAATCCAGCTCATTATGGAAATGATGCAGACCAAACTTTCATGCTGGAAGGCATAAATACACCAGGTTACCCAAAAAGCTTTTGAAGCAGATTCAGCAGCAGGTGGACTGCTGAGGGTTTGTGCTTCTGCTGGGATACAGGGGATGCTTGCGCTGTTGTCCTGTAAATTTGAGAGATCCAAAAGGACCATGGCACACCTGAACATGGGAAGTAGGAAACATCTGGCATAGTAAAAACTGCAGCATTGCTGGCATTGCAGATATAAATGCTCTTCTTATGCTGAGGTAGCATCCTGATAGGACACAAATGCATTTTTATCTCTGCATGTTTTGTACCTTTAGTACCACCAGCAGATATAATGAAAGATCTCACATTTGCTTTGAACCTAGTTCTCTTACCTCTTTTGACACTGCATAGCTTTGGTAATGAAAGAGTCAGGGAAAACCCAATTCTCCAGCATGCTGTCTGTAATTTTATAGACCTCTGTCTATGACTTCTCCCAACTGACAAATCTTTTTCAGACTTAGGAGGTCTACCTTGGTCACTTTCTTCTTGGAAACTTCATACCTGTGATTGTTCTTGTCTCCCTCCTCTGTACCTCTTCCAGTATCATGTCATTTTAAGTACCATTAAAAAAAAAAAGAACAGCTGTTTTAAACATCTGTATTTTGAAAGGAAGTGCTAACGAGCGAATAGCCAACCTGTACAGGGAGACTGTTGGCCTGCTGGGACCCAGGTTCATTAGGAAAACAGCAAGGAGATCAGCATCTGTGACAACCACATGGCCAAGGTCTATATATGTGATTCGGTCTGATGGTGTTGAAACCTTTGATATTTTCCTGTGTAGATGTACTGGTACAGAAGTACCACCACTGCTCACTCCATAGGAGGCCCCAATAAACTGTACTCCGTAAGCAACAGTCAGAATGCACCTTCAGATGTCATAGTGTTAAAGAGAAGTCTCCACTCTCCCACAAGTCCAGTTTCTAATCAACAGGACATGCTGGTGCTGTCCTGTGGTGTGACATGTTCTAGTACACCTTGATCGTTGAGGGCACCTTTACAGTAATCTGATTGTATGTGTGCATGTGACTGTATCATGATGCAGCTGTTGGGAACTTGCCTCCTGTTAACCAAATACAATGTGCACCAGTGCTGATGTAAACTGGCTCCAAATCCCACTGGCAGCTGTGGAAGTTTTCCCTGCTGTTTGCTTGAAGTACCACTATGTTTGTTGGGGTTGTTGTCCTTTATGTAGCAAACAACTTGAGCTAATTTAGGTAGTGTTATGAAGATGGAGTTTCAAACCCCTGCTGCCTAAACAGTTTAGTTTATAGGAAACATTTTCATATAGTAAGATAAGCTTTGCAGAGGGTCATTATAAACCCCAGAGTGACATACTGGTGAATTATCTTCTGTCTTTCAGCTGGTTAAGTAAGGTAGTCACCGTTTTTTACATTACAAAACAATGTATTCCAACCAGCCAGCTCTAGAAGAGCTTTTAAGTAATAAACCCTACTCCCAAAGCTATGTTGGTCTCATCAACATTACTAGTGCCCAAGGAAAAAAAAAATGCCTTTGTGTTCAGAGATGCTTAGCACTGGGGAAGTGCCATCATCAAACTGCAAATTAACTTGTATCCAACTGTGGTTACAACCGAAAGCGTGAGGTTAGGCAAATGAGAAAAGCCATCATTTAAGGGGGAAAAAAAAAAAAAAGGAAAGAAAAAAGCAGACTTAACACTGTGAGGGGTCAGGACTGTAAGAAAGTAAATTTGAAGTGTCGTATCACTGTCTTTCTAGTGAAATTGTAGCATCAGAATGCTATTGTAAGACATCCCTTTTCTGAGAGGGACAGAGCACGTACTTTGTTCAGCCTTTCATTAGTCTGACTGCTATAAATCCAGTGAGCCAATGGACCAGGTACAGACGCTGCACTCATCTCTGCAGTACTTTGACACCTTATGCAGACAAGATACCAGCTTCTTCTCTCTGCATCGTGTTTCCCACAGCTCTCTCCACCCCTGATCTATATCTTCAACATGGCCCTGAGGCTACTTCACTATTAATAGTGGAGCAGAGCCTTGTTTGGGATCTCCCATAACAGATTGTATAATTTCTGCTTCTGATCTGGCGTTATTATGGTGTCAGAGAAACTGATGAGAACTCAACGGGTACCTGCTGACCAGAGTGCTACTGCACGGTTTACTTATTGGGTTGGTTTGTCAAATAGGATGCTGTTTGATCAGATCTTGAATCAGATCATACGCAATTACAAAAGACAGCCGTGCATAGGATTTGCAGAAAGAATGAGTTAAGATTTCATGGAAAAATCTGAGTATGAAGAGGAGAAGTGTTCCATTTCACTGATCTACCTTGGTCACAGTGCTCACATGTTTATCTCCTACTGTCCCAAATAGCCTGACACTATTAACATTTGACAGAAACACAATTACCAGTGTTTTTTCCAAGCTGAACTGTGAGCTTTGGGAAAGATACTCTCCCTGCTCCTAACAACCCAGAGCAACCTCCCAGCTGGACAGCTGGCACACCTTGCTCTGATGGAGGAGGTCTGGGTACAGGCTGGTCCCATCATATCCACATCTACCAGCAGCCTTTTGGATTCTCTGCTGCCTTGGAGGTATGTCACACAGGCCAAGCATCGGAACTGAAGGGCTTTGAAAAAGGTGGTATTTAGAACGGGGTTTCAATCAATGCAGATTGTTTAGACTGTATGTCTTCTCATTTACACCAAATTCATGCCCAGAAAAGAGATTCTGAATAACAAGCCAGAAGCTAAAGCAGAGAGAAGTATCCCTTACTTCACAGTCACACCTTATTCACATCATCACTTCAGCAGTACATACACTTGTGAACAACTATTTCCAAAGATGTTTCAATAAATATGTATTAAAAATAAGATTTGTTAGTTACATATGTTAACTCAATTATATTTTTACACGC